AGTAGTGTTTGTGATGCTTAAAAAAGAAGATCCACAATATGTGCATTGCCAAAAAAGGGAATTCAAGATCAAATCACAAAACGCATTGATTTCAAGAGAGTTGATGGCAGCGAGTTACCACAGGGTCAATCGACAAAATAATTGCTTTTATTTCAACCATTTCATGTTGTTATTAATACATGTATATTAAAAAATGTTTACTCTTTCTATGTTGTTTGTCAGAAAACCCATGGTGGTCCTGTAATTACAAGTACTTTTTTTGGAGATAGTGTTCGATATGGTTATATAGCAGAGGTTTGACGTCAGTGTACCACAGAGCTACAAAACTGATAAAACTAAAAAGCTCAAAATAGAAATAAAACAAATCCTGTTCTTAAAATAGGCAAAAAGTTTTTCGTATTACAGAACGTACATTATCGTTTAAATGTCAAGGGTTGACATTTTGATATGAGTCTATTAATCAAACAGTGGTTACTTACTTTTTTGTAATCTTGAAAAAATAATCATGTCTATCAACCATGTAAAATAATGTTTCTGGTATTAATTTAATTCACAATTAATGAAAGAAATCATAAATAAGATTAAAATTTCGCTTACCACATTGAATGAAAGTTGTTGTTGTTGTTTTTTTTTTTTTTTTTTTTATATTTTTAATACAATAAGTCATAACTTTAAGAGAGTATCCAGGATATTGACTTCTCTGGCAATTAAAACCTCTGTATCATTATTTTCTTTCCTGAACGAACTCTCACTAGCAGGAACAGGCCATTCTTTTCCTTTGCTTAAGTATTACGTCAAATGACATATAAATCAACTATGAAAGAAAGCTAATTGTCGCTGTAGATAGTTTTTTGGTATTTTTTGAGCAATGGCAAACTGGACATGACTACAGCGTGTCATGGTTGTCGCAGGACGGCTAAAACCGCAAAATTTCTGCGCCGACAGCATGCAGCAATAAATGAGTAGGTATTGTTCATTTGGTATTCATGGTTGATCAGGAGAAAAAAATGCCGAAGCATGATCCTGACACTTTATGGCAAAATATCGATATAAATAAATACACTAATATCCGCCCCGTGTTTCAAATATATCACATGTATGACAAACAATTCCCCTTGTCCACATGTAATTAAGAAACGCGTTTGGTGTGAGGATGTGCTTAAAATTCCACATTTCTATATCCTAAGAGTTTACAATTCAATTTTTTAGCCATGTTGATAAAATGGTTTTTTCGTTTTATTCTTTTTGCGGTGGTGTGTTTTTGTATATTTGGAATTTCAAATGCCAAAACATCATCTAAACCAGCAAAAAGTGAAAATGACAATGGAGTTAAAAGAAAAATTTCCAGAGCACATAAAACTAGTGCTGTTAAGACTTTGAAACAAGCAACCACTGATAAAAGTGTTAAAAAAGAAATGCCAGAGATTGTTGTTAAGGAGGATACTTTAAAAAGGTCTTCATTTTTACTTCCGTCGCCATTAAAAGAGAAAAAAGCTTTCAAGCCAATCGAAAGACGCAAAGCAATTCGGAATAAAGCAAACGAAGTGTATTCGAAGGAAAAAGTTGCTGATAAGAAGACGAAAGATATTAATCATTCTATTTCATATCTACCAGACCGAGCGAGAGCATCCATTACAAGAAGCATGCATCAAATTGTAGTAGAAAAAGAAAAGGGTCTAAAACCAAAAATTGAATATAAAAGTGTAAAATATACCATGATGCCAGAAGAGGGGGGAAACGACATTCAGACGTCACTGAATAAGAAAGATCCACTGATTAAAGAAAAGGATTTCTCAAATTCAGTCAGTAAGTTTTTAATTAAACGTAAATACATAATTGGGTCTCTGGCTGGCATGGCTGCGGATAACAAGGCGGTACAATACATTTTGGATGAACAAACTGTCTTTAATGATAAGTATCTAACATCAACAGCTGATCCTATTGCCTTCAAACAAAAGTCCGATCAAAAATCGATGAATAAATTGGAAGAGGTGAGGTTAATAAAGTCTAAAACAAAGAAGAAGAAATCTGACAAAAGACTTAAAACTTCCGAAAAGAAATCAAAAACCAGGAAAACAGTAAAAACAAAATCAAAGAAAAAAAATCGAGATAGATACGACGCAGATATGAATACGTTATCAGAAGGGAAAATCTTTACGGAATCGCCGGTAACTAAATATGATAAAATGCCAATGTTAAATAAACTTAAATACTTACGACAAGTAAACAAGGGAAATTCAAAAACCCAAGTTAAAAATGAAAATAAAATAAAAACAAAGACGAATAAAAGAAAGGAGAAAAAGAAAGAAATGTCTGATGTTTTTGTCACACGTAGAAAAAGTATAAGACCTCATCAAAATGAATTGAAGCAAAACGAAAAACAATTGACTCAAACCCTTCCTTTACACATTGAAATTGACACGAAGGATTGGAAAACAAATTATCGTAGGAAGAAGGATAAATTATTGAAATCGATTCTAGATTCTACCATAAAGGTTGACAAGGATTTCAAAAAGAAGGTTATTAAAAGTAAAACCATTAAAGAAGTGATCCAACAGAAGACAATTCACAGTTTCCGGATAAAACCGAACACTACCATAGAAGTTGGGAACACAGAATTTACAGTTGGTATTCCTCCAAATGTACCTATTAGACCGAGAAGGAAAGAAAAAGGGAAAAACCAAAGTAAGAATACACCTCCAAAGAAAAAGTCTCTAAAACCTCCAGCAACCTTGAAAGCGTTTCGTTCTGATGAACTTAGGGAAGTAGTGGACACAGCTACTGTTTCGAATGAAGCCAAAACTCAGACCAAACAAGAAAAAATACCCAAATCATCAAAAGTTACTGTAAAACCAAAGGCCCCGTCAAAATCAAAGTTACCGCCAGCGATAACAAAGCATTTTCCGTTGAAAATTGAATTTGTAACTGCAAAATTGCCTACAAAATCAAAAATAAGAAAGAATGAAACGAGGAGAACAGAAGCTTCTCGTAAGAAATTCATCACTAACGGTTTAGTGGACGATCCTAAAAACGTAAAATCACGAATTATCACTTCGTCAGAGAACTTGAATGTTAATCTAGATCATTATGCAAGTGAATTTACGAGAACAGGTATAACAAATGGAGAAAACAACATAGTCGTGGGAACTTTGTCCGGTATATCAGATAGAGCTAATGCAGGAATGTTAAACTTACAAGTTGATACAGTTAAAAGAGAAAAAGAAACTGATGCAATGAAAAATAAAGAGGCACAGAAAATTAGACAGTTATTACCTAAGGTACCTGAAAGAACATCGAATGTAAAAGCTAATGTAGACAGAGTGAAGAAACACGGAAGTAGTCAGACGGATTTTTCAATTTCACTTTTGGCTGCTCACGAGGTGGAAAGTACAACACGAGCCGCAAAAATTCAAAGAAAAAAACCTACTAAGAAAGCACCTGTCAAAAAATCACCTCGATTTGTATTACGTAATAACCAGAGCAGCGGGAAGAATTTTGTATTCAGCTTCAAAACCAACAAGAAACCGAAGGTAAAGATTCCGGAAGTGCCAAGTGTTTCTTTCCAACCGGCGTTTATTTACAAGGATACAGCCGAAATTCACAGATCTGAAAATTCTCTATACACTAACAGTATTCACGAAAAATCAGATAAAAAACAATTCTTTAAACATAACATTATGCGAGACAAACAGACAGACTTCAGATGGCCCATGCCTTCCCCGACGGATCCAATTCAAGGAATTCCTGTCACCCAACCCCCGCCAGAGGTATCCACGCTTGGTATGATAATATCTGGAGATTTTGTGTCAAGTTTTGCAGAGCAGGCTTTTAAAGATGTTAGCTATTCCAGCAACACCAAAAAGATTCCAAAAAGTACGGTTAATTTGAAACTTGGATCAAGTAAACTTGTCAAAAATGACTTCATTTTCCCGGATCAGTCTCTTTTTACGCCTGCACCTAAGGCAATAAGTACAATGGACAAAGCGTCGGCAGCTAAAAGAAGAAACGGACTATATTCAACTAATAACATATATTCAAGTGATATTCAAAAGGAAATCGAAGCTTTGCTTAACTCCACTGAAACTGTTCAGCTCACAGACATCCCTGGCAATATTGATATTCGAACCTCAACTGTTCCTTTACCACAAACGCAAGAAACTTTTCTCCCTAAAATGCCAAGTAATTTACCGTTTGTTTACAGGGCTGAAACACAGGCTGGTGAAACAAAAATGCAAAAATTAAACACTAAACCGAAGATTCGAAATGTTGAACCAACAACTTCTGTAAATAACATGGCCGCGGGCATTACAGGATATGATATTGGTTTATCTCTTAAAAAAGAAAAACTTAAGAAGTCCCCTGTTCAAATCATTCAAGCTGAGAAAGCATTCGAAGAAACTTCTCAAAACCCTATACAAAATATCTATGCAGAAACAAAGCCTCGTGCCAACTTAAGAGGAATGAAGCGTCCTTCTGTACCAATGGAAACTGTTATTCTTCCAACAGTATCAACTACCAAACAAGTTGTCACAGAAAAGACAACGACGTCAACAGAGCCAACAACAGAGATACCGACTACCACTAGCCCTACGACGACGACAACAACGCAACAAGCTGTAGTGTCCAAGTTGACCAATTTGAACCTAATATCTGAAAAAGCCAAAGACACATTGCAGAAGATCAACGAAGTTTTCAAAGGTGCCCCCGAGGGCATAGTAGCAATTTCAAAAACAGATGCTTTCAAGAAATATAGAGAAGCTGCAAAGGAAGTGATCGAATTAGATAAAACTCCAACTATGGTGCCAGCAGTGGGTATAATTAAACCTCTAAGGAAAAGTGAAGCTATTTACAAATTTTCTCGGTATGGAAACCAGCGAAATCAAGGCATTGTTGAAGATAATGCTATAAAAAGAGAGATTAAAAAACTTTTAATACAACAAAATACTATTTATCCTGCTCCGGTGCAGAATGGTATGGTATCCTACCAAAGGGTCACTCCTATGATGAACCAGAATATATATTCTAAGAACGATATCACTTCAAATTCACGAGGTATTCTATACAACACACCGGAAATGACGTCCATGATAATGGCAACAGAAAGCGTGCTTCCTCAGCAAAACAATGCCTATATTCAAAACTACAATTTCCCTGGTGCAAATCGACAGGTGTTTGCAAGTTCAGCAAGATATCCGTCTTATCAGCAAAGTGTCAGGGCGACACCTCCAACTCCGTTGAATCCCCAGCTCAACGTAGGTTCAACTAAGTTGTTTAATATTCTTTCATTTAACTTTACAAGAATAAGGATGATTTTAGTTTCATGCATTATACGTATCATAGAAAATGGATGATTTATGAGTGAGAGTTATTATACATGTTATAATAGATGAAATCAGATTGATTGGCCAAATTTATTTCAATCTTTATTATACAATTCGTGTAGTTTAAAGTTATTTGAACAACAGGTCTATCAGCCCTCCATGCCCGTTGACTCTAGTCTTCGACTTTTCTGGACCACAGTTCTTCCTAGCGGAGGCACAATGGATGAATTTGCCATCGTGAAGGACGACGAAATGGTGATTTATGTAGTATCAGACCAAGTCCCTCTTCATGGCAGACTTGACAAATCGTCTACCCTCTTAGATTTCACAGTCGTAAGTATTTAATATAGAGAAGAAGTATAGCACAGATATATTTATGTATTTGGTAACTTAATTAAAAAGAATCCTTTGTTTATCATTGGATAATAATACTCTATCATTACGAGAAAACTCTGTAAGTTTAACATCAATCTAAAAAAAAATTTAAACTAGCAATGTGACGTATTTACACCTATAATATTATAAGGAGTATAATTATCAATGGTTAAGTAAGCATAATTATAATGCTTTTTATTCTCTGGATCTTTCTGGTTTTCACAAAAAACATTTCAAACCATCGTTTTATGTATCTCAAGTGCATTTTGCAAATAATTTTCAAACTGGTTACACTTTATTACCACTATCCGAGGATTTTGGCAAAAAATAGCTTTGGGCATAACTTTCTAAACTACATGTACATCTTTGTTCTGAATAGGGAGTTATCATTATTCCTACAGGGTTTTTATACAATTTCTACTTTTTATACGAATTTCTGGATGAATGTTTAAACGGAGTTGTACACTATAAACATTGTTAGTTACTCTATTTTAACTCTGAGAACAGGTCATTTTTAAATGATTGTACAAAAAATCATCAAAGGTAACTGTTGATACAGTGAAAACTGTCTAATCCGACACCTGTGCAATTCGTTTTACCGTGAATTCCGACCTTTATTTTCATTCCCATTTTACTATTTTCCATGTTCTTCACACTGCGCAATCTGACACCCTGTCTACTTCGACACAAAATTTGTATCCCAATGCATGTCGAATTAGACAGGTTTCATTTTTCTTTATACGATACAAGTTTAAACAATAGCAAAAGCCGATTATCAATCAAGAAAATATGAACAAGATATTAATAGATTTTGATACACATATTTTAAATTGAAATTTATTGAAAGAAATTCTAACTTGTTTATCAGACAAAACAGGCAACTTTAATATCAAAATTTTCAATCACTTTTAAAGGGACACATGGCTATGAGGTTTGATATTGATGGAACCAATGGTCAAATATGTTTCGTGACTCACACATCTGCCAAATTCCAGAAGACCAAAGAGGCATTACAGAGAAGGGCGATGGCTCAGGTAGGTTTGAACAAGGAAATACTCGAGAAAATTTGAACTACTTTCATGGAAAACTTGGGAAACTTTGAACAAGGAAATATTATGGTAAGTTTGAAGAGGGAAACGATTAATTTTGAACTACTCACTTAGAAAAGTGATATAACTTTGAACTAGGAAATGCTATGGTAAGTTTGAACAGAGAAACTCTCGATAAAGTTTGAACTACTTACTAGAAAAAGTGGGGTTACTTTGAACTAGGAAATATTTTGTTGTTTGAACAAAGAAAAGCATGATTTGCACAAGGAGAGTTTTATTTACTTAGGAAGGACAGGAATTCGACTGCTGTACTTGTAAAGCAATTGCAAAGGTGATATTGAGGTTTTGGGACTTTGTATCTGGTATCTGAAATTCTTTTGTGAAACATTCTGATCGAAGAATTAAACACTTATACGGGACAATAGGGACTGAAACCCATGATTCGATCTATAAACTGTCCAAAAACTGTGATATTTAAGTCGTCCTTAAAAAGCACACTTCAAAGTGCGTACCTGACATGATTCTTTTTTACATGGCACCTACTTCAAATACCCCGAAATGGTAATCATCGTCATAGTGCCTTCCATACTACATCCTTTGTTGTCGGAACGTATCTATATTATTGTGTGAAGACTTATGTTAAATATAGTCAGTAGTGTATGGGAGAAAAACAAGTCCAGAGGGATTCGAGCTAGGGTTTTAAAAATTTACCTACTTATATAAGAATTTTACATTGATTTACAATTGAAAGGAATATAATTACATGTATCCCTAACTCTAGCAGGTGAGTAGGATTAAAAGGAATATCACTATTCCTAACTCTAGGGAGTGAGTAGGATTAAAAGGAATATCATTATTCCTAACTCTAGGGAGTGAGTAGGATTAAAAGGAATATCATTATTCCCAACTCTGGGGAGTGAGTAGAATTAAAAGGAATATCATTATTCCCAACTCTGGGGAGTGAGTAGGATTAAAAGGAATATCATTATTCCCAACTCTAGGGAGTGAGTAGGATTAAAAGGAATATCATTATTCCTAACTCTAGGGAGTGAGTAGGATTAAAAGGAATATCAATATTCCTAACACTAAGTTGTGAGAATATTATAATATCTTTATTTCTAATTTTGAGGTTGTGACCCTTGCTGATCCCATACAGTTGTATGCTGAGCTGACCACTCATGTTCCTCACCACAACCTACACACAGTCGGGGGAGCACAATTCTACAAGTTCTGCAAGGCTGCCATTAAGCAGGACAATGTCTATGAACTTGTAATGGGTAGGTGTTTTAGAAGTGATAAAGACATAAGTAAAATTAGGAATAAGTAAGTTTGTTGAAAATTTATATTTGATTTTTGAATTCACATTAACACAGAAAATGAACTGATAATGATGGGGCATTGATATTTAGCATGTCTGTTGCTTATCACTAAACCTTTGAAAAATTTAAGTCTACAGTGTGCCTTTCTATATGTGAGTAGATCCCGACCTTTTACTTACATTTAGAAAAACAAGCTAATTCAGAGAATTTGTGCCCCCCGCTTAGGGAAAAAAGTAGAGCATGTTCGGGGGGGGGGGGGGGAGGGGAGGTGGGGTCACACTGCCCCCTGTATTTGTAGAATTTTTAAATGTATACATGTATATTGAAGCAAATTTTTAAAAAAATGCCAATATGGATATAAAGATTTCATTGCTTATTCTTTAATATGTGTATAGAAGATTATTTTTAATGTACAGAATATTTATCACACTATAATAATGATTTTATGAGTTTGTACACACCAGACATCATAACTTTTTCATTTCACATGTTGAATAGTATCATTTAGTAAATCCCCCCCCCCAAAAAAAAAAACAACAATATTTTAAAAAAGGAGAATCATCCGGGGATTGAACCCGGGCCTCTCGCTTGCTAAGCGAGCAACATACCACTAGACCACGGAGACACTTGATTCCGTAGTAAATTAAATGCAAACATAAGGTCACATGTAATGTTTAAATTCACGTTTGATATTGTCAAAATTTTAATCAATACATGGTGTCTAATTTAGCCTTTAGTAAACAGTTCTAAGAGATGTAATAAGAATATAATGTCCGCCGACAACCTGTATTATACGTAATAACTCTCCACATGCCCCTGTGCTAAAAAATAGTGCCAAGCGACTTTTAATATACAACAAATAAAAAAAAAACGGGGCGGGACACTTCAAGAGGGGCGAGAGATGCCATAGGGAGTTATGGTATAAAATTTCATTGCAAAAGCTCAAAAGCTTCTTGAGATATCGCCCGGAAACAAAAGTGTTACACACAGACGGAATATAAAAAAAATTGACCTTGAACTCTGACCTTTTGACCTCCAAATCTATACAGGTCTTCCTTAGGCCACAGGGAGTTGTTATGTAAAATATCATTGCAAAAGCTCAAAGGATTCTTGAGATATCGCGTGTAAACGAAAGTGTTAAAACAGACAGAATTTATAAATTTATGACCTTGGCCTTTAACCTTTTAACCTCAAAATCAATAGGGTTCTTCTTTATGCCATAGGGAGTTGCTATGCAAAATTTCATTGAGAAAGCTTAAAGGGTTCTTGAGATATCGCGCGGAAACGAAAGCGTTACAGACAGACAGAAATACAGACGGACGGACGGACAGACGGACCCAAATTGATATCCCCCACTTTCAGTGAAAGCGGGGGACAAAAAATATTAGGCTCGTTTACTGTTAATGAGAGATGAGGCCATGGCATTACACAAGTATTACGTCTGTTGGTAGACATTTTCTAAAATGCCAGAGATTATAGAAGATGTTATTTTGACCTGAATTCTACTATTTAAGATATCAAATTTTAAGTTTACATGTATTTTTGAAACCAACATACATTCATACGATTATTAAGCATTTTATCCAGAAGACCTTCAAAAATACTAGGGAAGACATTTTGTTCCAATGTAGCCGGAAGTTAGATGCAGAATCATTCTAAATGTATAACATTCTTTGGCATTCATTTATTCTCTTTAGAGAAGTGGACAGGCTTTCGCCTACATCCACTTCTCTTCGCAAGCCTTCATGTTTTGATTCTGGAAAACGTGTAAATCTCGAACCGGTGACGGTCTACACTTCAACTGACATTTCGTCTAAAATACGCCTGAATGTACGTAATAGACGTGTTATCTTAACAATTTTAACATAAATACACACAACTGTCACAAGAAAACTGACCTTTAAGTATTGTTAATCCATTTTCACAAGTTCTCCATCCCGGATTTAAACTAATGTTTATCTACCACAGCTTATTAGAAAAAATTGAAAATTTTAAGTCGGATAATTTGGAAAAATTGGCGAAGACGTATTTTAATGTTCAAAAAATGTTTTGGACAATTCACTTTTGATTTAGCATATTATTCAAGATAAATATTATTACCTATACTTATTTTTACTATTTTAATACAATTTAAATGTAAATTTGAACTTAAGGTGGTATGGGATACCAAACGAAACTTCTCCTACATATTTATGTACCCAAATTAGAAGGATTTGAAATACCCCCACCTTTCAGTATATTAAAGTGTAATTTTAATAATTTTTTAATTATTTTAATGAGAAATACAAAAACGATTTTTTTTCTTGCATAATTCTTTTTTCATAAGCTTAATATTATAGGCAGGCGTTTGCTAATATAAAGTGTTTATAAAAACAAAAATGACAAGAAATATGTCTTAGTATTTTTTTTTAATTTTCAACAAAAAATAAGCGTAAAAAACTGGGAAAACTTTATTTCTTGAAAACAGATGGATAACATTTCATGAAAGTCTACAATAAGAATGTATCTTGATATGTAAGCAAAGTGAAATAAACAAATTGAAAATATATATATAAATGGAAAATATAAAATGCATTTAAAATTTTTTGAATTAAAAGATCCGAGCGGAAGAGTTATCCTTCTTTATTTTCCAAGGGTTGAAAAAACCTGGGTGCTATTTTAGAAATGATGAGCATTTTTTCCCAACCATAAAAAAATCGCACTTTGTAGTTTTCAACTTTGAGCGGTTTTGAAAACAATGCATGGACAATCGCTTTCCAGGACGTGTCTTGTTCAGAGCAATTGCATTCATCTGAACGTTTTGGGACTATATACAACAGCTAGCTGATTTGTGACCAAACAGTTACTTCTTGAATTAAATAACAAAAAAGTCCAGCTCTGGTTAACGTGATAATTGATTGGTGATAATTCAGCACAATGTGAAGTAATCGCACTTATCCATGCCTCACCGCACACAAGGTGCTGTACAGTTACCCAAACAATTGAAATACAGCTTTTGCTTAAAAGTGTTCAAAACGTTGAAATGTTGAAACTACCTTTTACAGGGGTTTGCTTTTTTAAATGTCCGTTGTACAATTATAAGTAAATTTATATACTTGCGATTTTTTTGTCTGTTTTTACTTAAAATGCCGACTTGTGAGAACTTGCATTGAAATAGGCTTCAGAGTGTTCTTTTCAACGGTGTATCTACAAATTTTGACCCGATAATAAGCACTCATGCAAATCAAAACAATACTTCAAACGGAAATACGTCAGAACGTGGAGGTATCCCATACTACCTTAAAAAATACTTCATTACTTCCTCACTGACAATACTAAAAAATATTTTCTTTTATTTTTAAACGATATTAACTCTACCTTTCCCGAGAAATGAAAAAAGATTTAAAACAAAGATCAAAAGAATTTGAACGAAACTTGAGGAAATACTGTCTCGTTAGTTTAAACAGAGTAGACGATTTCTCTCGTTCCATTATTATTTTGTAAAAATAGTTTCCATTTTTATCCGAATTAGAGATTTTTGAATACTTCAAGAGTTACTTGCACATAATTTAAATCCGGGATGGAGAACTTGTGAAAAATGGATTAACAATACTTAAAGGTCAGTTTTCTTGTGACAATTGTGTGTATTTATGTTAAAATTGATAATATAACACGTCTATTATGTACATTCAGACGTATTTTAGACGAAATGTCAGTTGAAGTGTAGACCGTCACCGGTTCGAGATTTACACGTTTTCCAGAATCAAAACATGAAGGCTTGCGAAGAGAAGTGGATGTAGGCGAAAGCCTGTCCACTTCTCTAAAGAGAATAGCATTCATTATTTATTCATTCTAAAGATTACTGTAGAAAGCGAGCGCGTGTTCTTGTGAACATGGTATTCTTGGTTTGAAAAAAAAATGAATTAGAATAGTTAAAAATCCACTATTTTTAACGCTAAAATTTTACATGAGATGTGTCAAAAATTGAAATAAATAACACGTACAGTATAACTATTGAATTATGTAAAATATCGATTTATAATTAAGATATTTAAAGTCTATTGAAAAAAAATTTACAGCACTGAGAATGAGGCCCTAAAGTAAAATCTATCGATTATAAGGTTTACAGCACATCTCATATTAGAAAAGGTTACTAGGATAAACTAGATTGTTCCAAGGAACCCATGTGTCGCCTGATTTATACAACTGTACCTTCATTACAGATGTAAATAAATCTATGAATGGTCACCTATTTATTTACTACTAATATTGTAGTTCATGCATTTGCCTACAAAGAGAAAAAAACCCATCCAAGGATAGCATAAGACTGCGTTAGAATCTGTCAATTAAAGAAAATATAGTTCCTCGACCCTCAAGTAATAATTAAATTTAAATCATTAGAAATAATTATTTATCATTTTATTAATAAATATTTCCAATAATCCACCAAAAGAGATTTCAGCCCATCTTTACTGCAATTATCAGTCTAACGATCCACTGTGGAAAACCGATCCCGACGCATTTTCATAGCATTTAGATACAAGTTTGTGTGGTAACTGAATACCATGCAGTTTCAAAGTACAGTGTCATGAGCTCATGAACATGTATAAATGCTTATTTTTAAAACCAAGCCTCTCAAAATTCAAAAGACATAAGTTAAATTAAACTGTCCGTTTTTTTGCGAAGTAGTAGTCAAGTGGATTGTAACGCTGGTATTTTTCATAATGTTTTATGCCAAACGGTGCACATATTAAATAGCATAAACTTACCACTTAAATGTCAAAAATATGCTGTATATCGGCACTGTGAACTATTTTGAAAAGTACATGAAGGTCAAAGGTCAAGAATCTTGAGGTTGTTAACCATGGTGATTTACAAAAGCCATAGTGCCAAGCAATATTTGTGCAAAATATCAAATCCACACCTCTTAAAGTTCTCGAGATATAAGGTGTGACAGACGGGCAGACAGACAGACGCCGGGTAAAGTGATCCCTTAGTGTTGCTAAAAACAAGACATACAAATGGCTCTGGTAGACATTACTCTGTAAATGAACCCTCCCTTACTATCAGCACTTTGTTTCGTACACGTCGGCTATTAGTACTTTATATCTGAAGGATTACCTGAAGCACACATAAATATTGACTGAAACAAGAATATACGGGGAACTGCCATTTTATTTTAAAATCTGTCAACAAAACAACTTTATCTATGGTCATATTCTTTATACTGGAAAAACTATCAGGCTCTCAAATAAAGATCAATCTTGAAAGTCAATGATGTCCCCTTTGAAAATGCTCTTAGTTGAGGGCACTTTTTATCTAAAAACAATGAGTCTTTCATATGAAAAAAACGATCTTTTATTAAAAACTGTAAACATCACCAGCTACTCAAGACAAATGATATCCATTTTTTAAGGTTGTTTGAACACTTGTGTTTACCAAATTCACGATTTTATCTGTGTATAGTAAATTGTATTCCAATGGAACATACTAATAACAATCAGTCTGAATTATTATATTGAACACTTTGAAGAATCGCTAGGGAAATGCCTAAAAGGAACATAATCGTTTTTTTAAAGTGGAAAACTATATTTTATTAAATGCAAATTTCTGGCAGAACATTTTTTTAAATTTATGAATTTCATTGTTTTTTGCTTTGTCCACTGCATTTTATTTATACGATACCTCACAAAACGTCCAGTTAAGTATGTTTCACCACAATGAAGACATTCCATGTGTACATTAACGTTCCTTTCGTCGCCCGCGTGGCACAGTGGTTAGAGCGTTTGCTCTATAGTGGCAGCGTAAGGAGTTTTTCCTTACATCGCGGGTTCGAATCCCACTGTGGGACGTGGAGACCGATCTTTCAGATGAGTCCGTATAAACCGAGGTCCGTGTCGCAGTAGGTGCTGGCACGAAAAAAGATCCTTCACTGCTCAAACGCCCGGAGCGCCGAGTACAAGGTATAAAAAATAGCAGCCATCCACCGGCAATTAGTGGCGTCTCAATTAAAGTGAAAATTCTCGAAGGGACGTTAAACAACCAATTAACCAAACAAACGTCCTTTTTAGTCAACCTTACGGCCTCAGAGTACTGTTATGTCGAAAAAAGTGCATGTACCCTTTGTTGGTTTCTTACACATTTTTTCCATACTTATATAAACCTTCCAAGAAGTTATTTGTGAAAACAGTTCTTCGGAAAAAGTAAAACAACAACAACGACCATTGTGTGTACGGAAGGTCCTTTGTACCTGTACGTGGCACATACAAAAGCGTGGATAAGTGCCCCTCTTTTCAATTTTATCAATTCTAGCATATTGTATAGACATGTTCCATCAATAGATGTTATGGTTACACATTTGTAGCAAATAAATCAAACTGTCGGACAATCTTAATATTAAACGTTACTTTAAAATAGAAAGAATCCGAAAAGAAAAAAAACAATAAAAGAATAGATTTAATGGACACTTAATTATTTTCTCTCTTCCTTGTATAATGTAATATAAGCAATGTGTTCATCAGAGCGATCTATTTCATCTAATCATTAAATCAATGCTAACAGCTAATTAAAAGGTTTTTGGAGATTTTTCACGCTGTTATAGTGTAGATTATCACTCTCGGGCCAACTTTGCAAAAAAAAAAAAAAAAAAAAAAAAAAAAAAAAAAATAATAATAATAATAATAATCTTTCGATTAACAAAAATCTGAAGGTAACAATTTATTTAAAAAAAAATCCACAACTGTTTGATTAGGCCCATTTTAAAGGACCTAAATACGCTTGAAAAAAATGTCACAGTAATTTTAGGGAAAAAACCTGCTTTGGCGCACTCTGTGTTGTTTAATTTGATCGAAATGATGCTTGAATAGTAATAAAGATTAATAAGCTTTCAAAGGATTAATCTGAAATGTGATGCAATTTTATAATGTCATTTAGTCCAGATTTGCAAATTTTCATATGGAATCTCACTAAGTGGTCTTAAACGACTTTTATCCGAGTTCTAGAAAATTATCTATACATGTACAGTGTATATATCGAGTTGATAAAAGTATAGATTTTAATTTCAGTTTCTTGACGTTTTATGTAGCTTAAGTAAGTTTTTATTGTGAGAAAATAAGAATCCTTCAAACGAAAAAGATCTTTTGTAAAACAATATCCAACAATTTATCATATCAAAAATCTGCCTTCTCTTAAGAATGTCGATTAAATATATTCTTCAAGAGATGATTTTATTGCATGAGAAGAAATTGAAATTTTTTTAATCTTCAGTCATAAAAACCTTGTGCAAAAATGTATGCAAGATAAAATGGTCTCTTTGTATTGGTGGAGCTTATAGATTTTTTAAATTCATTATTGTTTGAACAATGGTGGGATTGGGGTTTGTCTTTCACTAGGCTAGGATAGATTATAACGCATTTCCACAGGACATTTTTTTTTTCTTTCTGTTGTCGGTGTAAGACAAATTCAAAATCATCATACGTTATAACCAAAACCTCTCCAACATTGACCAATGTACAAAATAAATACCACAGGTCAACCCCCAAACCACTGAGACTATCGTAGGTCACCCCTGTGACATATTTATTGTTATCAAGTACAATGAAAAGCAGTTTTTTATCGGTATACGATGAACCTCGGTCTGGTATTACATGGTATCGATGGTCTAACAACGACTGCAAATGTCATATGGGATTGGTCACCATATGTTTATTGTCTAGGGTAAAAATAAACGTTAAGGCGATAATTTTCAAGTCTATTTTTTATTAGATGTTTTGGAGTCAATATCAATTAATTGATTCAAGAACAAACAAGTGTGAATAGTAACCTATCATATAAAAACCATATTGTACTTTTATTTAATTTTTTTTAGTGTTTTCAAAGATATTAATGAAAAATAAAAAAAAAAATATCTCCCGGTATTTTTCTACTAGGAGTACATTTTTAAGTTATTGGATAATACCAATGGTCGAAGAACGACTGCAACGTCATATGGGATTGGGCTATAAATGTTTACTGTTTTGGTTAAAAATAGCACCGAGTTGATAATGTTCAAGTCTGTTTTTTTTTTCCTTTTTTGAAAACAATTTTAAGACGTTTTGTAGCTATAATCAAATACATATTGTTTCGAGAAGAAACAAAAATAAATAGTACAGCATAATACATGTATAAACTGGATAAACATGCATGTGTACTTTATGTGCCCCTGCAGTCGAAGATTCAGGGACATATAGTTTTTGTTCTGTCCGTCCGTCTGTCTGTTTGTCTGCTAATATGTTTCTTCGCAAAAACATTAACCTTGCCGTTAACTTAAATTGCTGGTACTAGGGCTTTCATACTTCACGGGAGCATTCATTTTGACATGAAGACCTTTCTTTGAGTACCAACATATTTGAACTCTTGACCTTGGAGTTTGACTTTCATTTGAAAAACTCTAACCTTGGCCTTGAGCTGCAATATGGGGGCATCAGTGTTTCACAAACGTTTCTTGTTTAAAATTGATTTTTGAGTGTCATTGGAAATGTTAGACTTTTTTGTATAGATTTCCAAAGGAAATGATTTTAAAAGGTACAATATTGTTATACATGTATGTTTAATACTTATTACCGTCTTCCTTGGAAGATGGTAATATACAGAGTTGAAGTATTTTACAGTCTTCGGACCGTGCACTTCCTCTCTTTTGTGATTGGTAGAAATTGCATGATGAAAACATTTTCAATTATTTCATTGGTTGAAATGCTGTTCAAGGCAAGGGAGATAATTTTCTGATGATCTAATTTTCGTACACCTTAACAATTTTTCAAGATCTTCAATCGTAAAAAAATATGACAAAACGAACAGTGGAAATTGACACTAATTAATCTCGATTTAACATGCTATTTTTTTTTTTAGCAACTACCCCCCCCCCCCCAAGAAAAAAAAACGTTTCTATATTTTCATTGTTAACAGAATTGATCTTTATTGCATGCAAGCTTTACAGTTTGTATGTATTCTCTTTCCCTTTGTTTTGCACTGTTTTTCTAATCTCGACAGCACTATGCAACACCTCGGCCGATTCGTACCTCATCTACATATCACAATGGTGACGGAATCAGCCGAGGTTTGCCGAATGATCTCAGCAGCAGAATCGAAGTTTCCGTAGACAGCCGAGCATCTGTTAACGTTTCACTTGGTAGTGCTTATGTCAGAAAAAAAACTAATAAAGAAATTCAAAGCCAAAAAATTTTCAAGAATTGTACGGCCTGATAGGTTTAGGTCAGTTTACTGTTTAAGGTTGTTGCTAGACGGTAAACTTTTTGAAAAAGCTGTACTTGTTATATTTTAACTCACACTATTAAATGATTTTTACAGAACCAACCGGAAATGTTGGCACCACATCATTTACCGGATCAGGACTGGTTTACCCAACAGAACCCGGATTGTCAGTGCCAATTACAATAAATGTAGAGTCAATGATCAATTTGAAGAACAAACGATTTTAACTGCATGTTTGATGATTTTGTAACAAAAATTGTGAAAGAATTCCATTGTATATATGTGTTTGTCTACATTTTAAACAATCAGTTAAGTTTATTTTGTTATACTTTTATGACGTTGTGCTTATATAACTATATGTATTGTCTGCAAATAATTAATCACGTGTAGTTCTTACATGTAACTTTTAGAAATGATGAATGTATGTACATTGTACAGGAATACGATTTACTTTTTTGTTAAATCAGTTTTATTTTATTCTTTTTCATGTGACCTTTCTGGAATAATATACATGTATGTAAACTAAGGATGAACGATTTCACAAATTTAGTGATTTGTGTTAATAATTTTAGTTAAAAGCAGATAGGCAGGTAGGCATTAAGCAAATACCACTTGTGTTTTGGAAGAAATAATATGGTTGCTTAATATTTTAATATTGTTTTTTGATTGTAAATGATTGACCAATTCTGTTTTTATTTTAGAGAAAATCGGGTGTCATTCCTGAATTTTATTTTTTTTTAAACTGATACCAAACCAGCGCGAAAAACATATAGTAATTTACCTTTTACAAAAAGCAATTGTTGCCTTTCTCTCTTCATCTCAGGAAACATTAAATCTTAAAGGAATAGTTCCCTCTATAAAGGGGACATGTAATCAAAAGTAAAAAGAAAAGGTCTTTTAATGTTTGGAATTTCAGTTCTTTATCTTGGATGCAACATTTATAATAGTTCCCTTGATGCAAAAATTTGTTTAACAGAAAGTGGAAAAGAATACTAGTAATAAAAAATATAATAATAATCTAGATGAATATTCTTTGTAAATTTTACTTATTTTGTTAAAGAATATTAAAAAGATATTGCTTGATCATTGCTCAATCACTCCATGAAAGGGCAAGATTTTTTCTCCTTACGTCATATAATTAAGGTACTATGAATTTGATTAGTCTGTTTTAGTCATATAATTAAGGTACTATGAATTTGATTGGTCTGTTTTAGTTCAACATGTACAAACCAATGAGAATCGTCAATTATGTAAAACAAAAAAACACCGGTCAGTTGTGGTCTGAGGTTGGTCGTGATTGGTGTTGCAAAATATATGACCCCTTGGCAAATGAACGTCACCATTAAAGCAATATTAATGAGGAAATGAAAATAGAAAGGAATATGAAATCTGTGGCTAACTTTGATATATGTTGAGTCTTGAGAATAAAATACGAACCTGCTCAATCATTTTGAAATACAATTATACATGTATACTAATGTTATTTACATGCATCAAAACAACTTTGTAAAAATCAAAAAGCATATCATTTAGTCTCTATTAATATTGAAAAATATTGATAATTAACGAACAATATGGAAAATATGAATCCTAAAACTCAGAAAAAAGTTATATTAAGCAAGGACCGAATGAATGAATAAACAGAAGTATATGTTTAAAAAACAAATTCGCTTTATTCCTATATAGAAAAAAAAATGTAAATCGGACATGACCTTATGGTCATGATACAGTAAAACTGACATATTAAAGGCGATTTTAGTTGCTGGAAGTTCATGAGAATGGGCTAGGAATAATAAACCTGACGCATTAAGACATACCTCTCTCTTTTTACTGACATCTGCTGTGACGTATGGAATGACCTGTGTATCCTTAACAAGAATCAACCACGTTATATCATAAAAGATGCCCAAATTTATGCATTTTGTCGCTTTTGAACACTTGTAGTGAGTTTATTCATCTTTATATATTTGTATTTTTTTCGTGCATGTTCTCACAAAATTGAAAAAGCAGGGATTAAATCGTGACTTTCAAGGATGACTCGGATACTGACCATATGTATATTATGTGTTATATTCTTCTTTGAGAACTGTTATTCTCAAAACCAAAATAATTTAGGAAGGGGACAAAATTTAAATGTAAATAATGGACAAGGAACCGGAAGGCGTCCATTACAAGGAAATAAAAGACCATCTGCTCAAAGTTTAGGAATGTTCGGTGGACAAAATAGTGGCCAAAATGGCAATCCTTTCGTAAACCGACAAAACATGCAGCAGGGGCAATCTTGGGGCAACACCAATAATAATAATAATGGACCATCATCCATGTCTAGGCAATTTGAGAACAGTGGACATTCAAACCAATCTCCAAACCAAATTAACATAGAAAAGCTGAAACTTCATTTACAAAAAGCCCAAGGTATGCAGCGAAATGCTGGAAAAGGATCGAACAAAAGGAATCAGGGAAATGGACGTAATCGTGGCCAAAACCGTGGAAATAGTAAGGGTCCGAATAATTTCTCGGCTTCACAGAGTAATGGTAATATGAATGCAAATCTGAATGGGAATTCAAGAAATGCGCAATCCTTTCAGTTTCGAGAAAATCAAAGAAATCCAAATTCAAACAACCTAAATCAACAAAGTCCAAATGGCCCAAATCCATGGAATTCAAATCCATCTGGAAATTCTAATCAGTGGAATTCAAATCCAGACCATTCAAATCAAAGGAATTCAAATCCAAACCGTTCAAATCAAAGGAATTCAAACGGCCAAAGTCAGTGGAATTCAAATCCGAATGGCCCAAGTAACATTCAACAGCAGCAACACAAAAAACAACAGCCACCAACTATGCCAAACAATGCAATGAGTCACAACAAGGCAAACACGAAAAAGACGACCAAAGGAAACATGAACAAAATGAAGAAACCTCAAGCCAAAAATAGGAATAACATGGCAAAGAAAAACCCACAACAAAAGCCGCCACGTGGAATGGTTAGTATAGAAAAAAATAAGTTCCTCACGCAGCAAAATCTAATAATTAATTTTGTCACTGTACATGTAGTTACAGGATCAATGCATATGAAATTACAGTTTCTTAGAATGTAAATCTATGAGCGAAGTGAAAAGTTTACATGTATTTTAGCTTTTTTTCAGTTCTAAATACTTGTTTTAAAAATTTTTCCATTGAATTTCATAAATGAGTGGTGTTTCCTTTGATCAATGAATTTGGTCAATATTCACAACTAATAAATTAAAATGATTAAAAAAATCTTTTAAAAAATATCTTTAAAACATGACTTGATTTAATTATATGAAGTCTCAACTATTTGAATTGTGTTTTGGTTTTTCTTTGCTATTTCTGTCCTTCTCACAGTGAATGACACGTTAAGTTACGAAAAATCTAAACATTAAATCTATTTTCGGCAATATTTATTGTTTGTGTGTAGTTCCATCAAAGGAAATGGCGAATAAGGAATTTATCAAAGAAAGTGTAAAGGGTCGTACTGAGGCGTAACGTTTAGAGTTTAGTTTTGTCTTTAGATGGATTGTTACTCAATTATAATTAGTCTTTTATTCCTCAAAACGGATCGTCAATCTTGAATGGCCTGACTTTTTTTTTTAATAGAAAACTAGGAATGTATGATTTATCTCGAAAACCTCTAAAAAAAAAGTTCATATGGAAATAAATTGGGGAAAAAAATAATTGTAAATTGTAATTGTTACCAAGTTAGAAAAAAACACTGAATAATATTAATAATAGATGAAAATGAAAAGTGCAGCATTATAAATAAAATGATAACTTTATGAAACAAATACTTAATTTTATTTATCAATATTTATTACAAAAATGCAAATTGACTGAAATTCAAACAAAGCCTAACCATCGTGCCCGGCTGATTAAACTGTCCTTTTTATATGTTATTTGACCTAGCTCTGGGATAAAAATTATGCCTAAAGATATACAACACCGATATAACAGTAATTAGTGCTGACATATTAATTATGGCACAGTATTTCTCTGTCAAAGTTATTGTCTCATAGGGCCAATTGTCAAAAAACAATTGGTCATCACAATCACTTGTATTTGAACACGCAATGTTTTTAAGAATCATTTTAAAATTCGCAAAGAAAACGTACATTTTTAAGCAAAGAAACATTCTAAAATATTTCTTCGGTATTCTATGAATATAAAATACTTTACTTATACATTTTCAGAACATGAAACCAAAGAAAGTATCTCCGAGAAAGTTCTATTGGAAAACTATTTTCCCAAGTGGCACTGCGGCGGAAGAAAGTGCCGAGGTGTTGTATAGTACTAAACTGGTTCTCATCAATTCTGAGAGTGCACCAGCTATAGACGAATTCAACAAAGGGGGTATTCTGATGGATTTCAGAAGAGTAAGATTTGTATCCATCTTTAAACATTAGATCTATGGGTAATGGTGTCATTGACAATTGAAGTTAGTTATTTATGCAAGCATGTATAATCCTTTTCAAAAAGACTTTAATTTAAATTTAAATAAAAATTTAGAGAAAACTATGAATGAAAAGTGGGAATTTATCAGTACGTTTCTCTAAGATATAGAAAAAAGATGCAGTATAACTTATTCAGAAAGGGATATTTACCAATGTAAACGTATCTGAGAAATTCACAGGAATTTGGAAATTTTAATATGTGTTAAACTGTTTGATTAATTAGTGACCATAACAAGCCACGAATGTTTTGTTATTTTGAATAGGGAATGATGGCGGTGCGTATGGATGTAATACCTGGAACCAATTTCCCCGGAATGCCTTTCAATGGACAGAGAGCTTGTTTCCTTATGAAGAATATTACAACATTTGATCAAGCAGTGAAAGAATTGCATAGCAGAGGAAAGACAAAAGTATTTAAGTCTTTCATATTGTTATATTATTTCTTCTTATGCCTATTAATAATTATAATTCTACTTGTTGGGATTCATATTCTTCATTTTATCCCCGCTGGAAAACTCGGAGGGGGGGGGGGGTTAGTGATGGAAGTGTCCGTCTGTTACACTTTTGAGTAGTCATCCCTTATCCACAACACTCCTTAAACCACTGAAAACAATTTAATAAATTTTTACAAAATCTTTATCAAAAATCCTACATGTATTTTATGTTTCCATCAGACAGATATTTAGGGTTTCCCATACCAAAACGTAGACTTTGCTGTCATACTCGATCAAAGGTTACCATTTTGTCAATGCAACTCTCATGTTGTAAATTTTGAATTTACTGGGTGAAGGTAAAGGCAAAATTTACAACGTGATAATTTTATTTATTTATTTTATTATTATTTCTTTCTTTCTTTTTTTTTTCTTTTTTTTTTTTGCATTTAACTCTACCCAGTAAATTCAAAATTTACAAGTGAAAATGATGCAACTCCTCCTAAACCCCTGAATGGAATCCACTGTAACTTTCACAGAATCACCTTGAAATTCACATACTGCTAAGAAATGCACTTTGCCATTATATCCGTATGGAAGCGGGGGGGGGGGGGGGGGGGGCTCAATTTCTGAGCTCAGTGCTCACAGTACCTATAGTTGTAATCAAAATATGCTTTTCTTAGAAAAAAATTTTTAATTAAACAAAACGTTTTATTGCTTAAATAACTGTAAACAAAGTTTATAATCAGGGGTAGAACAATTTAAAATAAATAATAAGTGATCTATTCTGTAATGCCAAGAAGTATTTCATGCACTTTCATCCAAGAAAGATAACTCTTGTGCATTTTCTGCTAAGAGACATTGCCCTCATGATCCATCACTCTATGATAAATGACAAAAAAAACTTTTTTCTTCCCACTCGACGAGGGCAGGCATGCAAGTCTTGCCGTATTCCACCGAGCATCAGCGGCCCAAATTCAAACACATGTATCTTATGTTTGCTTAAATAGGTGCCCCCATCACCAAAGAAGTGACGCATATTTAGTAAAACAACTTCATATTTGGCCAAGCCAAATAATTTTATTTCAATGTGGGAAAATGTTACTTTAAAGTTCAGTATCGTTTTTGAAAAGTTTTATAAATATTTTAATGTTTACTTTGATGTTTCTAAGAACATATTCAAGAGTCAAATTTTACGTTTTACACATATGGAATGCCCTAATTAATTAGATTTCCATTGGAAAAAAAATATTGAAAGAAAGTAACGTTACTCTTCTGTGCGGGAGATAAGAAAATTCGGTTTTTTGTGTCTTTAAGTTTCATCTGAAGCAATAAGTTGTGTCAAGTTATTCCCCTTATGATAAACATAAATGATTAGATATCTTTTTTTTCTCTCCATTTTCTATTGGTGGAATTACATGAAAATCCATTTTGATAACTAACTGCCATTTTCTCTGAGAGAGAGTTGAAATTTGGCATTAGTTACTTACAATAAATTTCATCTAAAAACTTTCCTTTAATAACACCTGAACAAAATCTTAAAATATCAACAAAATTAAAATTTTTCTAAACTGTTTCTTATTATTACTATCCATTCTTTGATATATACAGTGTATATGTATATTTTAAACTAATAGCAATTTATCAATTAATCATGTATTTAAATGAAAATTACCTTGGCTTAATTGAAATTGTTTGCAATTTTCAGAGAAATCTAGAGATGGGAGAAATGATGCATATGACGGCTACCGTAAAGCAGCGTTTAGACGGACCAGCCGTGCGAAGACGAGGCGGAGTCTTCATCACCAGGTACTGTCAGGACGCCATCAACAGCAACAATGTCTATCTATTATTACCCGGTAAGTAAAACTTTATAATTTATTAATTCCTATATCTCCATCGTCTCAAGCCACGGTCCGGAGTCCGCATATAGCTCTCTCCAGAATTGGAGAGGATCCTACATTTTGGCCGTGGTTTGCGACGATGCAATATCTCCTACACAAGTATTTATTTAGAATTTCCTAATTTTGAATGAACAACATTGTCAATGCGATATCTAACACCATGAATTCTGCATGCGTGCGTGTGATTATCTACATGTACGAACTGCTTATAAAAAATTACCCCCAAACCCCGCTTAACTTTTATTTATCAATATGGTCTTGTAAAGTATCGATTAAGGAAAGGAATAAAATTAGTTATTCCAGTCTGCTGTCCAATCCCCTTTCTTTTTAAAGATAAATGTTGACAATTTAATTCGCCTTACCGTGCATCATTGATAATTATTTTATTTGCCATGTTTGTACCATTTTCGCTACCCAAGGGTGACGATCCGCCCTCCTTCCTGTTTGTACATGTACATATTGTATATGTAGAAGAAAATAGTGTCTGACTCAATTAAAAACTTTTAAAAGATACCTAGAAATTGCAGGCCCGTAGAACGCGGGGAGGGGGGGGGGGCAGGGGGTCCGCCCCCACTTTTTTCTGAGTATAGTATTTTGCTATAGTAAATTTTCCTTTAGACGAGGGATTACTATGACATCACAGAAAAATGCAAAGTCAATACAAAAACAAATGAAAAATAATAAAAGCCCCCCCCCCCCCCCCCACTTTTTGATGTTGTCATGTCGAGTACCGGCAAATTCTTGGATTTGTACAGTAAATTAGATTTTTCTTTTTGGCTTGTCAGATTTTTTGGGAAGTCCCCCCCTCCCCCCCCCCCCCCTTTTGAAACCGTTGCCACGGGCCTGAATTGTACATGAATATAATAAATGTTTTGATCTGAGATACATAATTATAGTAAATCATTTGTCTTCTGAGAGGAGTTTTTTGTTAATGACAAATGTAACTAGTTATTTCGCTCAAGTTTGTCGTCAGTTATTATCGTCTGCTAAATAGTCGTTTTATTTTTAAATCATGATGAACATCTGCGTATATGTTTGATTGTTAGAAAATTAATAAAAAGCATTTTGCTGAAACTGGTAGACTATTAATGAAAATTACTTTTGTTAAACAGAGGCGCCAGTGGAGATGAGTCCGAAGACATTCCAAATATCGGGTCTTATTAACGCTATGGAACCATTGTATCCGATTCCTGTTAATATTGGTGTAGAGATGACCATTGACTTCGGACCACCTCCAACCATGACACCTGCCATGAACTTTAACCCCTCCACACCCGGATGGGGTAGAGGTTGGGGAAACAATGGCGGGTGGGGTTAACTACAAGAGAAATTAGTTTTAACTGTTAATTAATCTGTTTCATTGAATAAAATACACTTGATTTTTAAATAAAAAACTTTCATCTTTTTGTATATCTTTTGATCCCGGAAACCCAGAATTAAAAGAAAAGTTGATAAAATGCAGATACTTGTAACCAAGTTGTCAAATACTGATATTGCGGAAAAGACAGTCCAGGTAGCGGAGTAAACCTTCACAGTGGATAGAGGAAGCGCGGTCTGATAAAATTGTTGTTTACTCCCTCTAGGCACCTGATCCCACCTCTGGTGTTTCCAGAGGTCTCTTTTTTTTGCCTGGCCACGTTTGATATTGTTTAAATGATTTATGGGATTCTCTTCACCTTTTCATAAGGGAATGCATGCAGTCTGATGTCTGTATGCGAAAAGTACGTAGAGGAAGATGAAAGGGTCGGCAAATTGAAGGAAAATCACAAAATAAATATGCTGTTTAATGTGAAAAAAAATTGAAAGATATCAGAAAATCAAGAAATATTTACCTTTTTGCGACGTTCTGGCACGGCAGTGGATTGATGAAACAGTATTCAATACATATAATCAATTTGCTGAATTGTATAGTAAATGAAAGCTAAGCATTCCAACAGAAATGATATAAATGTGTCTTTGAGAAAACAAAGTTTTTACCATCGGCACTCCGCACCGTATAGTCCGTAACTAAAAATCTGCACTTAAGGAACACTGCACACTTGAAGAATTTTATTCCATTGTAGTTTTATGAAGTTAGAGTGATCTGCCCTTTGATAAAAAGGGAGAAAGGGAAATCTACAGAAAATAACACAGTTTGAAATAGATTTAAGGATTTTTTACAACAAGGCCGTAGGAACGGGGTGGGGGGGGGCACCCCCAGTAATTTTGCCGATATATAGATTACTATAGAAAACATGGCTACTATATATACATGTAGATGCTTGTACCCACTAAATAAAAACGTCTGATGACTTTTTTTTTTACTTGTCAAGGATTTTTTGGTAGTTTATACTGCCCCCCAACTGAAAATGTTTAGCTCCCCCCCCCCCCCCCCAAATTGCTTTCTTCGGGCCAGTATCATCACATTAGACTAGGATAAAGTAATATATTGAATAAATAATTTGCACGTACATGTATTTTCCCAACTTAAATAGTCATCTGATTTCTGTTTATTAAGACTTCAAGTCTTTAAACATTTCACCTGGAGAAATATGATAGGTGCCGTATATTGAAAATGAATTAGATAATATGTACTCTTATATATGATATAATTTTCTCAAACTCCAAAAACGTTTTTCATTAGTTTTCTTAATTCTGAATTAAACGAATTCTAAGATTAGAAAAGTCAAAACTTTTACAACACACATTTATTATTTTCTACTTTCCTCCACAAGGTCATCTTGACCATTCCATCACATCATAGCAACCGCTCCATTTAAGTCATTTTGTATTATACTGGTCAGATAAGGCCTTGAACTTACGGTCTTTATTGAAAAATACATGTTAGCCTATCACACGTGGCTACTTATAGTTACAGTGAAGCACTGGTTTTTCTGAAAAAATACATGCAGGTAGGCACATATTCTATTATTGTTCCATGCGGCCATAAATGAAAATTTTTAAGAGATTATCTAAGAGTTATTTATCCAATAGTTGATGATTTCTGATTAACCTTTAAATTAAAAAAAAAAACATGCCCGGATCTAGAGGGGGGTCGGGTTGGGATGGTGGGTTCTGACCCCTCCCTTGGAATTTGCAACGTTATTAAAAGTATATACTGAAGTAAATAAAAAATGGCTTTAGACCCCCCCCCCCCGGAAAATGTGGACCCCACGTAAGGAAATAGAATTTAGGTTTTTTTTTTTTGCTTGTCAACAATTTTTCTGGGTTTTAATACGTTTGGGAAGGGAATTTAGGTTTTTTTTTTAGTTTGCCTGTCAAGAAATTTTTGGCTTGGAAATTTTTTTGACTGGAGTGGACACCCCCCCCCCCCCCCCCCTGGAAAAAATTCCTGGATCCGAGCCTGAAAATATTTCATATAAAATTAATTCTTTATAAAATTAAATTGAACAGAGAAGTGTTCATGAAAGATGTATTAAGACATAAGAAAAAAATTAGTAAAAGCAGAAGATATGACTGTCTCACTGGAGGAGGAGGACATTAGATCATTAAATATACGAAGATATAGAACGATAAAATGGCATTTGAAAAAAAAAACCGTATAGCATTTCTTCTAAGATAATTTTAGTACAATAATGTCATTCCGTCTTGACAAAATTTTAACATGAAATAGTTATATCTCTCTGTATAGTCCAAAATCACATTCATTTTTCTCATCTTGACGAAGAAGCGGTTTGTTTTACTGAGAACTGTTTACTAACGTATCTTGTTTATTCAAATGCAAAAAAAAAAGATAAGAATGGCCTTCAAGACAAAAAAATACATGCAAAGCAAAGAGATAGTTCGGTTGTGCACATGAAGGAATATTGACTCGTCAAGGGCATACATAAAACTTTAAAAAAGTATAAAATAATAAAAATATTAAAATTTAATCAACTAATCAATCAATCAATCATCAATCCTCCATTCAGAAAATTATACAACGGTTATAGCTCATCACCTGAAGGATCATTTAATTTAGTTAACATAATAACTCGTTTAAAATAATAATGACAATTGAAAGCGTTTTCCCTTTGAAATGTTCAATTTGAAAGGTTTTCTTTAACGGGTGAAAAAAATATAAAATTTACATACTGATATCCATACATACAGTGTAAAAAAGTTGTTATTCCAATGCTTGCAATCAACAAGAATGAGTTATTATTATAGCTCTTTGATATGGGTCCTTATGATATCAGATATTATAATACTTCAGTGCCCATACTGGTGATATTGTATATACTAAATATTCTATAAAAATAATTTTATTTTCCACAGATTTGTAAAGTTATAAAAACATAGCTGAAGCATCATTTCAAGGATTGATCTGACCAACATGACTGCGAAGAAAGTTGACAGCGCGATGACGTCGCGAAGAAGATTCCTCATTGGTCCAATATGTTTTGTACATGTGTTCACATTTGGTATCTATAATAGCACGATTGTTCTGTTTTATCCGGAATACCTCGGGAAATTTCTATTTCCGAATACCACTTCCGAAACTTCGGATAGCTCTGTATGTAAAAGTGAAGGTAATTCAACAGAAACTGAGAACGGCAAAATCATCCAAACAGAAGTAGCCAGGTTTTCTATCTACGCGTCCTTGTGTGTGGGTATTCCATGTATTATTGCCAATCTACTGCTTGGAAGCATCAGCGACCGATATGGCCGAAAGAAAATGTTGATGATTCCAACCATTGGTTTACTCTTAGTGGAAATGTCAACGGCTATTTTGATGTATTTCGAAATAAATCTGAACTATTTTCTGATTCCCATGATTTTCCAAGGCTTTGTGGGGGATACATTTTCCTTGGTACAGTTTGTCATGTCTTATGTATCAGATATAACAGAAAATAACAGATCGAGGACTTTCGGAATAGCTATAATTGAATGCTGTATCGGAATGGGTGTTGTGATTGGCGGGTTAGTAGCCGGATATGTAATCGAAGCTTTCGGTTATATGTGGCCAGTGGTAATGTCTTCTCTCTGCAAAATCTTAAATATCATTCTCATATTCTGTCTACCTCCAACCAACATTCAAAACAAAAGTACCGATTCGTGGAATCTGAAAATGGTTGTGGACTTCCTTAAACAGTCGCTTCAATTTTATTATTCGAAAAAATATCGCGGAGTTCGATGGAAGTACAACATCTGCATCACGGTCTACATTCTAGGCTGTGTCTGTCTCATTGGTCGGAATGCAGCCGAAGTCCTTTACATCATCAGTCCGCCATTTTGTTTCAGTCCAGTGCTTGTGGGATGGTACCACGCAGCACAACATACCTTACAACAGGGAATATCGATGCTTCTCATACGGGTCTTTCTGGTTTTTATGAATGCAGAGGCAATTTCAATAATGGGTGCATTATCCGGGATTGCTGGTTTCATTGTACAGGGGGTGGCTGGATCAACAACCATTTTATTCTTGTGTAAGATTTTCCAGCTCTCTTTCTCTCTCACTCTCTGTTTTGCTCACATACTAGTAATATGAAATTCCAGATCCACCTGTTTCCTTTTCATGATCAGAAATACATTTTTTCTATTATGCAGCCCTAGTTATCGGCTTTGGAATGGCACTTGGTATTCCAACGATGAGAGGTATCATGTCTAAAGAAACACCTAGCGAAAGTCAAGGTTTGTTGATCTTTTTTAAAAAATGAATTTCTGCAAATGTATACATCAATACCTTTTAGTATGACACACAATGCAACTTAGAGAAACGTGAAAAAAGCTCTCTACACCAACGCTAAAACTTAACTGCTTACTTTTCCTTGTGCCCAAATATGTAAATTTAGGGATGAATTCTTGAGCTTAACAAACTTAATGGCTTTTCATTGTAAAATTTATATACATATAAACTAGCAAATTTTAATTGATGTTGACTCTCCTAGTAGTTCATGCAATTGCTTCTCACGTTCGTGATCGCGTTTGGTCCCCGGATTGGAAAGGCCAGCCCATACGAGTATGTGCGAGAGTACTGTGATAGTCGGCTAGGACATACTGCTTTTTATGCCCCTGTAATCGAAGATTCGGGGGCATATAGTTTTTGCCCTGTCCGTCCGTCTAGCTGTCTGTTTTTTTCCGCAAAAACATTAACCTTGCCCAAAACTTTTGATTGGTTGAAGCTATGGCTTTCATATTTCACATGTGTATTCCTTGTGACAAGACCTTTCTTTGGGTACCATCATATTTGACCTTTTGACCTTGACTTTGGAGTTTGACCCACTTTTGCAAAATTTTATTAGACCTTTACCTTAGCCATAACTTTTGAACAGTTGGCTTGGGCTTTTAAACTTCACATGTGTATTTCTTGTGACAAGACCTTTCTTTGGACACCAACAACTTTGACCCTTTGACCTTGACCTTAGAGTTTGACTACTGTTGATAAAACTTTAACCTTGGCCATAACTTGTACACAATTTCTGCTTTATTTCGACAAGTCCTTTCTTATCTTTCTTAGGATACCAACATCTTTCACCCTTTGACCTTGACCTTGGAGATTGACCTACTTTAATTTTGAAAAAACTTTAACCTTGGCCATAACTTTTGGACAGCTAGTGCTAGGATTTTCTTACTTCACATGTGTATTCCTTGTGACAAGACCTTTCTTTGGACACCAGTAACTTTGACCCTTTGACCTTGACCATGGAGTATGACCTACTGTTAAAAAAACATTAATCTTGGTCATAACTTTTAAATAACTGGTGCTAGGGCTTTCATACTTCACATATGCATTTCTTGTGGCAAGACCTTCCTTGAGATACCAACAACTTTGACCCTTTGACCTTGACCTTGGAGCTTGACTTTCTTTTGAAAAACTTTAACCTTGGCCATAACTTTTGAGAAGTTGGTGTTAGGGTTTTCGTACTTCACATGCATATTCCTTATGACAAGACCTTCCTTTGAATACCAACAGTGTTGGCATTGACCTTGACCTTGGAGTGTGACCTTCTTTTAAAAAAATTAACCTTGGCCATAACATTTGAACGTTTGGTTCTAGGGCTTTCACATTTCAGGATGATGTGTATCACTTGTGACAAGACCTTCCCTTGGGCACCACTTTACCTTGACCTTGCCATTTTACAAACTTTGAAAAAACTTTTATCCTTCGCCATAACTTTTCAACGGTTGGTGCTAGGGTTTTCATATTTCACAGGTTTATTCGTGGAGATAAGACCTTTCTTTGGGTACCAACATTTTTTATCTCCTGATCTGGATTTTGACTTGCATTTGAGAAACTTTAACCTTCGCCATAAGCTGCCATACGGGGGCATCAGTGTTTCACAAACACATCTTGTTTTCTGGTACATTTGTATATCACGCTTGCTCGAACAATTATGCTCCCCCTCTTTCGGTATACACATGTACTTATTCCGACGTCAAAGTAACATACTAACTATAACGTTGTGTCAAGTGCTCCTCAATCTATACTTATAAATTAATAAATTTTGCAAATAAACTCCGAAACGGGTGCACCTGAGTTCTTACTTACTCCTCTAACAATACACTAGATACAAGCTGATGTCCGTAAACTATATTTAGATTTCACTCGCATAGTTAGTATCGAACATTAAATTAAAAGTCTACTTTCATTTTCTATAAACAGCCATGAAATAGCTAAAACGTGAGTACGGTGGCGTTTCCGGTTGGCGGATCTAAGTTACTGGCAATTTTTAATGAAACTGACAACAAGCAATCGTTTATTTATTACATAAAACGTCATCACTGAATTATTCAATTAGAACTCGATTTAAATGATATAAAAGAAATAAGTTGTGATAACCGATTAAAAAGGGAAATGTGCAAAATATTTTCGTCATTCACCGATCTTTATATTGACGGAAGCTTCTAGAACATCATATACCATCGAGCCCGATATTAAGAAAAAAAAGGAGGAGATTATAGCTACATGACCATAAGAAAAGCTTTTTCGTGTAAATGGTCATAATTGAAATAACGGTAAATCACTGATAACACTATAAGTTGTGAATATAATTATATATCGAAAGACTATTACATTTACATGTATGTAGTAGGTTTTCCTAATAAATTTATCGATAAAATTTGTATATATTCCTACTGAGCGCATCGTGACAACGAATCCGAAGTACAATTTGTACTTGCTTACATGAAAAGAGAAAATTAATGAATAAGGTATTGTTCAAATACAATTAAAGATGTAAAATTTTGCGCTTTAATCAATGCACAGCTAATTTCTAAATACAATCTTTTATAGCTGCAATAATGTAGCCCGCTCCTTTTTTGAGGGGGGGGGAGGGGCAGAGAGAGAGAGAGAGGCCAGAAAATATCAGATCAAATAAAAAAAAAAAATTGGAGAGGGCTACATTATTGCAGCTTAGTCTTTTGTATCAAATACTCAGCCTATTCATAGGGCGATAAAAGCTAATTTTTACACAGGTACTTGGTTTATAAATATGTATGTACCTTATTGACAGGTAAAAAAGTAAAGTACATTTTTACATATCAATAAGGTACAAACATATTTATAAACCAAGATCCAAGTACCTGTGAATTTTTACCGCCCCCCCCCCCCCCCCCATCAATTTATTAGTAAAATGTTCATATTCGTTGCTTTTATCCTTGACGGAAATGAAATAAGAGCATCTGAAGTACAATATCCATAACACAGTATAACAGGTTTCACAATAAACGTCAATTAATGAAATTGCTATTTTTCAAGTTTAAAAATAAATAAATAAATAAATAAAACAAAAAAAGGGGGGTTGTTGGGGGGGGGGGGATTGGACAGGTAAATCTACTTCATGCGGGATTTTGAACAAAGTATTTATTCCTGCATGCTGAACAAAGTATTTTTTCCTGCTATAAGCCGGTAGGCTGTCAATAGAGAACTACAATATATTTTCTGTCGGTAGTGGTATAAATTCAATTCCCCGCGCTTGCGCGGGATTTCATCTAGTAAAACAAATTTTTAAAATATTCTTTTGCTTGTTGGATCGTTTCTTCTTTAATGTTGTCTAAATGCTTAGAAGCACCTGTTGGATGTTTTATACAAATTATTTTATTACAAATTCAAGGTGCTCTGTTTGGTGGTATGGCAGCAGCTCAAACCGCTTGTACCTACTTTGGATCCCTGGTTTTTGGCGCCATTTATGAGGGTACAGTGTACTTCTTTAATGGGACAGTATTCATGTTTATGGCAGGACTGTGCCTCATTTCTTTTGTACTGTCAGTGTAAGTACTTGTATTTACAGTCAGTGTACTAAAGTATATTTACCCACAGTGTAAGAATTTACAGTCATTGGAAGTATTTATTACTGATTGTAGGTATTTACTGTCAAGAATGTATTTTTTACTCATGTATTTCCCAACAAAATCATTTCACTCATATTTTTTCTTATCAGTTGATTCATTGAAGTAACAACACCGTTCTAAATTAACCAGTTTTGTTTTTATCTTATTACATGTAATTAAATATATAGTAAATTAGAATCATTCCGTTTATAATTTTTATACCCCCTCCCAGTATAATGTGTGGTGAAAATATTGATACTAGTATATGCATGAACAGAATTGATATTGATATTTTCGTACATTTTGTTTAGTAAATCCGAAATCAATATACTAGTATACAGAAACTGGCTTTTATAAGATGTTTGATAATTTTTTTCTTAATTTAACATTTTATTTTTGTATAATTTTAACTTCCAGATGTCTTCTCATTATTCCAAAGTGTAGTGCCATTAGGGATGCACCAGCAATGGAAGAGAAAGACGGAAAAATGAATGCCTATAAACTAGAGGCTCAAAAGTGACAATAAGCAGCAATCATGTTTTCAGTATACATGTACCTGCACTTTTAATATCATAACATTAACACTAAATAAGTAAATAGTTAAAATATACGAAAACAACAAATTGTCTTGCTTTTCTTGACAACAGTTTGGTCGTATCTTATAGATGTAATTCTTTAGCCGTCCCTTTTAAGCACGGTATGACATATATAAACACACCACGTTGCATTTTGTAAATCAACTTTTACCCTAAACTATATAATAACACAATATAACTTACTCCAAATTATATGGAGTACCCCCTCCCTAGAGTCGCGGTCATTTACGATTTCAGAGAAAACGCAGTGGCAATCAATTTGTTATCATTCTCTTCGAAGATAATTTATCTTCATAACCTAGAAAAGCTCTCGGAATCTACATGACTGTAACTATAAGCTGGGATTTAAGTGACATTTCCATAGATTGGGTTTGCAATTCCATAATTAGTACAACAATCTAGATTTGAATTCGAGGATCGTGTGTCGGTGTGAGTTTTGTTAGAAAGTGGAGAATTGTGAATTGATCGAGACATACATGTTTCAAAATTGTTGTATTATGAATAATTCTCCCTGTGCAGTTCAATTTTCAAAGATCTTTCTTTATTTATCATTTTTCTAAAAGACATAACATTTATTTTTAAAAAAATTCATATTGTTACAGTAGTTGATATAGGTGCAAGCTACTACATGTACATTGTGCAGGCACGTAGTACTTTTTTTCCCAAACATTTTTTTTTAAATATTGAAATGTTCATTGAGAGGTTAGTTGCCCCCCCCCCCCCATTTTTGTTTCAGTATAGTCAAATCAAGGTAAATTTGTAATGTATAAAGAAAAAATTGGTAATGAAAAAAGTTTTGAGTTTTTTTCTTTGGACAAGAACATGCACTGACTATTGGATTACATGTATTAGACAGTGGTCATCTGCACAGAAAATGTAGTTCTAAGCTTTCAGAGTTTCCGTCGGCGAGCAGTTTGGAGGCCGTAAAAGGAGATAAAAGAAAACAAAGACAACCATGCCATACAAGGTTCTGTAGTTAAATTATCGTCGAACAGAATGCTAATAAGCTCTGAATGTCCAACTATAATCAACTTTGCAAGATTTTACAAAGTCGTAGGTCAATAATAGTCAACTCTTTTCTAGCATGAAATTTTCAAAGTATTAGCATTCAACTAATGGCCAACCCTTGAAATGAAAAGCAGTCCATTGACGACCAACTGACAATTTCATGCAAAAGAATTGACAACTTTTCAGAAAAGCATTCAACTCTTAGTGGTCTGTTGTTTTTGAGTATTCATTTCACGGCCAATTAGACATTTTCGTATGGGAAACTGTAAAAAACGATTCTCTCCGAGACATCACCACTTTCATGCATGTACATGGATTTGTTGTGAACATATTTAGACTAAATCTTTACTGATCACTACAACTATCATTAAATCCTCAGATTTTTAGAGATCCGTTGCTAACATCAGTATTCATGCTCTATTGCCTTGATAGGCGTAGGTCTTTCGTAATTCTTGTTTTTTTTAAATAAAAAGAAAAATGCATTAGTAGCTCAAAAAGAGAAGTTTTTCTCCCTCAAAACTTCAAGATGACATGCATTCAGAAAGTGAGTCTTAGTGCGAAAAGGTCAATTTTCTGTAAATTCGATGGAAACGCACACAACTTGAAAATAAATACGATTACATATGATTTTTTTCTTAATGAAAATGAAAGTATACATGTATGTTCAAAAATATGCTTTTTCCGAATTTGACTTTTCTTACGTATTTGAAATTAAACATTCCAATGTGTTAACAAAGAAATACAGGACCTGGTATACATATGTATAAAGGTTACTAGGTGTATTGCAGCATTAGTGTAGTGTACATGAATTTAATTTTTCTCATTTTTATATATCAATGTATCATTTAAGTCAAATTTGTAATTATCGATTTTTCTTGAAACTCCAAGAATATTAACATTCAACGTAAAAAAACCCATTCGTATCGAATCCTATGTCCTCAAAAGATCGACCTCATCAATCAGTTGGTTTGGATGAATCCAAACAATTTGGTACCGCCACGAACTATTTTGTTTATTTTTTTGCTGTTTAACGTCCCTCTCGAGAATTTTTCACTCATATGGAGACGCCACCACTTGCCGGTGGAGAGCTGCAAATTTTTGACCTATACTCGGCACTTAGGGCCATTGAGCAGTGAGGGATCTTTTTTGTGCCAGCACCTACTGCGACACGGGACCTTTGTTTGTACGGTCTCATCCGAAGAACCGGTCTCCACGTCCCGCAGTGGGATTCGAACTCGCGACGTAAGGATCAACTCCTTACTCCGCGATTCTAGAGCAGACGCTCTAACCACTGCGTCACGAGGGCGACCCACCACGAATTAAGATTATTTTACAGTAAAATATATCATTTTCTTTCCATCTACTTAGTAAATGTAATTATAGTATTGAAAAAAAAAATCATTTAACCCGTGCGTGCAGTTGTTGTAGATAATATGAATCAATTGGTTCATGAAATCAAAGTCATGGGAGGTGAGCTTATTTTTTTTATTTATTTACTTTATTTTTTGGCATAAAAAAAAATTATGAAAGTATAGTAACTTTTTTCCTCAAAAACTTAAGCGGTCTTTCGGATGAAACCGTATAAACCGAGGTCCCTTGTAGGTGTTGGCACGAAAAAGATCCCTTACTGCTCAATGGACCTAAGTGCCAAGTATACATGTAGGTATAAATTTTCAGATCTCCACCAGCAAGTGGTGCCGTCTCCATATGAGGAAAGATTTCTCGACAGGGACGTTAAATAAAATCATACACACATACAAACAAAAACTTTAGACGTCAGCAATAGTGCAGTATTTCATATAATTATACGAATATGTACAGGTAACTGTTGACAATACTACAGAATCTCACAAATTCCAGTATGTACATGTAACTTCATCAGTAATCGTATATAAGTACATGTTATTTGGTTAGAGAGCTTACAATACGCAATACAGTTAAGAACAGTTAAGATGTCCAATGCAAATGTCGGCGATTTTTAAAGGTTGAAAAAAAAAATATTCAAGTAGGGGGTAGCTGCCGTTAGTTAGGCCCTTTCGGCAAGTGCCTACACTTCTTCTTTTTTTTTTTTCAGAAAAAATTTTTAAAAACAAAACTGTAAAAAAAAAAAAAAAAGAAAATAAATGACTAAATATCATTTTTGCCATTTACGGAGATCTTTTATGTATAAATAAGCAATTTCAAGGCATGCTAAATAGAAAATTAACACCTTACATAAATGTTTTTAAAATGAAATTAATAAGTCATGTAAAGTCTTAGAATAGAATAAAACACCTTGAATGCAAATAAAGGGCACAGAGGATGGCCACAATGAAGTTAATTCCCAGCGATTGATTTTGTTCCATTGTTGCAAAATCAATTGATTAAAACAAAATATATTTTCAACACGTTAACTAACTACTTTTAATACATTCCATACCGTAAGTTTATTCAAAAATTATTTTTTTATCCAAATGTCTCTGAAGAAAAAGAGTTGTGCATTTTCGATACAACATACCCACAGATCAAATGTTGCTATTTGCTAAATACTCCTTTTTTCGAAATTAACTAGGGAATTTCCGATCGCTTTTTTCTCTGATAAATTACTAGGAATAACGCTATAACTTAAATCATTATTTAAAAAAAAAAGATTTATCTTAGCACTAGTTATTACGCACATGATATCCACAGCATTTTGTGTTTGACGATTTTCTGAAAGACTGCAGGGCTTTCATATTTCACGTGTACATTGTATTTATCGTAATAAGGTCTTTCCAAGGGTGTAAATATATTTTTACCTTTCGACCTTGACCTTAGAGTTTGACTAACTTTCAAAGAACTTTTGAACAGTTAGTACTAGGGCTTTCAAAGTCCATAGGCATATTCCTTGTGACAAGACCTTCCTTTGGATACCAACAAAATTTGATCTTTTGACATTGACCTTGGAGTTTGACCTACATTTGATAAACTTTAAACTTCGCCATAAAGTTTTGAAAAGTTGGTGCTAGGGCTTTCATATTTTGCATGTGTATTTCTAATGACAAGGTCTTCCGCAAGTATTAATTTTTACCCTTTGACCTTAACCTTGGAGTTTGACCCACTTTTAGAAAACATTATCTTTGACCATAACTTTTGAATGGTTGGTGCTTGGGCATTCATGTTTACCAGGTATATCCATTGACACAAGTCCTTTATTTGGGTAACAACATTTTTGATCTCTTAACCTTGGAGTTTGACTTGCATCTGAGAAACTTGCTGGTATTCGGGGGCATAAGTGTTTCTCAAAAACACATCTTGTTTGTCTGAAGCTTTCAAGGTCTTCAGTTGAGACATATTGACGTAAGTTATTAGCAAACTCGCTATATTAATGAATATTTTTAAGTACGTATTGGAATTATTAGACATTAGTCGAAGAAAGTTATATTTAATTAAAATATATCATCAAATATCATAATGTCATATATCCACTGAGTATTTTCTCCTTTATTTCTAATTAATCCGGATTGTGTTGATCAATCAACTTCTAAACTTAGATCCGTTTTAAGACAACTGCTTGAAAGATATTTCAGAATTATCAGGAGTTTCATAGCTTATCTATCAATTGATCTATGAATGAATAATTCAATACTTAACGTTCTTTTAACCACTTCATAGAAAATATACACAAATAAACATGAAAAATTAAGTATCTTTCTTTCTTGTTAATACGGTGATGAACGGTTGTAACATTGAAGAAAAAATACAAAACACATGTATAAGGAATTTTTTTCTGGAATATTACGACCGTTTATATCCCCGTACTAACAAAAAAGGCATTTAATTTTAATTACCTTTAAAAATATGAAAAATTACGGTCCAGCATTATTGGATTTATTCATTTTGAATTGATTTTGTATTTTAAAACTCTGTTAAGAGAGATAACTCTAACTGGGATAGATATATTGTCAAATAAAAAAAGCGATTCCTGAAAAATGTTTTGCCGAGAACTGTGTGGTAAAATTGTGTGCATTTTAATCATAAAACTGATTTCTTTTGAAAAATTATATGCGCTAAGGCAAAATTTGTGAGTTTCCTTGTAAATTTCTTGTATTTTAAACGATTTTCCTTACGTCGCGAGTTCGAATCCCACTGCGGGACGTGGAGACCGTTTCTTCAGACGAGACCTTACAAACCGAGGTCCGTGTAGCAAAGTACATGTAGGTGCTGGCACGAAAAAGATCCCTCACTGATCAATGGCCCTGAGTCTAAATTTACATCCCTCCACCGGCATGCGGTGGCGTATCCATACGAGTGAAAAATTCTCGAGTTCTCGAGAGGGACGTTAAATCGAACACTCTTGATCAGAAGTCTTTTTAAGCCAAATTGATGCCCTCTTTTTTCGAAGCAAAATTAAGAATATCATTACATGCATATATAATGAACTTATAGGGTTTAAAAGAATTTTATTTATTTCATGTTTTTCTAACAAATGAGGAAGAGATTTAATTTGATTGAATAAGAATTGAAAAAAGGGCGGTCACAGATGAATTGGATTCGTTAATTAAACACAATACAGAAGAGGAATGAAACGCATAAATACAACAGAGAATAGTTCGCTTGTGTTTCTCTATTGAATGAAGGCAGTGACGGGAATGATTCTACAGTTGTCTGTTACATCCTTGAATATGTAATCAGACGATATAGTCCAACCGGAAGTGGAATATATTTTGTTCACCGACATCAGGATGGAACCATATGTATCCCCTACATCTTCTGCGCTGCATTTTTCATAGGGAATCTCTGCCCTGAGGGGAAAGACAGCAATCAGATCCCCTGACTTCACCGCAATTTGGTCCTCAACTGGAACTTCAAATGTACGAATTCTACCGACATACGTTTCCAATATTTCGTTCTGACCAATGAGAGTATACCTGGATAAAACAATAAGCAAAAATCATTGAAACTTCATAAAAAGGAACATTTTTGGCATAAATTTGCTTACACGAGATTTATTATTTTAATAAGGAATGTTCTAAAACTCATAGTATTTTTTAAAAACAAAACATTAATCAGGCTTAATTCGAGCTCGTGGGTAACATGTAAAAAGAGGTTTCAAGGTGGGGTGGGGGCAAGTGTCCCCTCCTCCCCTAACCGGAAGTGCTCCCATTTTCACTGAAGAAAAGCTTCATAGAAGTGCAATACATAAATCATTTTAATGTGATAAAATGTGTACAATGAATTGTGCATCTCTTCACAGTCCTTATCATTAATAGTATTTACTGAACTACTCTAATTACTATTGTAGTAAAATAAAGTTTCAAAGTACAGTACCGACCGAACACAACCTAACACCAGAGCGAACCCAAAGCGCACCCCGGGTTCGCTTCCTGGGTTCGCTCGGGGTCCGCTGCGGGTCCGCTTTCAGAAAATTTGGGACCGCTCTGGGTGCGCTTCGGGTTCGCTCTGCGTTCGCTCGGGGTCAGCTCTGGGTCTGCTAGAGCGAACCCGGCGTTCACTTTCCGGGTTCGCTTTACGCACTCATGCGTGAAGCGGACCCCGCTTTAATCTTGCCGCCAGTAAGCCCTGCCCCTTGTATATTCCAAATACAGTAGTGAAATCGATCATTACTGTTCTTATGGCGATCGAAACATGTACATGTAAGTGACAATATGGAGAACGTTGATAATTTTCAAGAATTTCACTGTACATTCGACGTAGAATTATCACTTTTATTTTTCTTAACTTACAAGCTAAATGTAAGTAAATCTCGATAGAAAAAGATGAAAAGGTGTTAAATTTATTTTCGATGTATCGGATGGAGTGAAATTGATAATAGTATCTTAATAAAAAAAAAGAAGCTTTCAAATTCGTTTGTTTACATTATTCATGCGTTTTAAAAATAAGTTGGAACTTCCAATTGTAATTGCAATTGCTAAATCGTAATTTAAATGTTTGAAAGACAAACAACTGAATTTTGATCTTATCTATGAAATAGCTGAGACATATTGTACACGTAAAATGCTAAGTTTTCATATTTAGCAGTTTACATTTAAGCTAGGTTGTCGTCCATTACATGTACATGTAGGTCGTGATAATCACTAAAAATTCTCATACAGTGTAACTTGAGTTTCGTTTTACAGATCACTTATAAATCATTGTTTTATAAGGCGAGTTCAACGGAAGACTTATAAAAAAAAAAAAACAACAATCGAAAAACCAAAACAAACGAACAAACAAAAATTAATAACTGGTCCACTGATAAGAACATATTACTTTTTTAAGTAGTTTTCAAATAAATGATCATTTGAATAGTTTGTGTTCCTTACTAATTCATGACCCCCCCCCCCCCCCCGCCCTATTACATACATGTATATACTGGAGCGGCATGTTAACAAACAAAATTCTAAATGTTTAAAAATAAATAAAAACAAGAAAGAAAACAAACAAAACAAGAATTCAATCACTGTAAACTCGCATGATTAAGTAGATGAAATTAAGATAATAACGTCCGATGTTGTTTTTTTTTAATTTCGATGAGCCCCCCACCCCTTCCGTACTCGAATTGTTTTCTATGGGCCGGTTGTAGCGATTTTAATTTCAAATAATATACAGCGTTCTCTCTCTCTCTCTCTCTCTCTTAAAGCTATTTTACTGATTTTCAGCATTCAGGTGGCAGCAAATTACATGAACATGTACTCTTCATGCAACGTACCAAAGAACTATGACGTTTCCAAATTCAAAAATAAAAAAAATAAGAATAATAATTGAATTTCTCATTGATAACATGCCCAAACGAGGTACATGTAACTTAAGGGGCATCGAATGTAGGGGGAGTATATACTCAGGTATATCGTGACCATGGAGACAGTATACATCCAGCTAGCAAGTGTCAATTAAAAAAAAACACTGCAATAGCTCTTAGCACCCGTAATATCTTCGAAACAGGTGGATGATTACCGACACGTGATGACCTTGGCCTCACTTTGAAACTATAAATATTAAACTGTTAAAATTAAATAATTATGACAATTACAAAGTTCAAATACAGGTACCTATGTAATGAAAAATTATATGTACGTTTTCGTATTAAGGTATCTTTGCAAGTTCAATTTACTTATGTTGGAATTACGTGTACATTTCATGCACAAGTACAAAACGTACCCGTCTAGTATTTTTTTTTATATCCATATAAAGTATTTCAAAAAATACATGTAGTACATCTAAGAGGTTCGTGAACATGTAAACCTGTATATATAATACATATCGACGCGAAGGAAAGTTATAAGCATTTTTGCGTTTTTTTTTTTTTTTCTGTTTTTGTTTTTTGTTTGTTTGTTTGTTTTTTTTTAGACTGACTTGCAAGTAGTTACAAAAATTCAAAAACATACAATGTAAGGTCTACATGTAGGATAATTAGAATTGACAAAATAATCTTTCCCAATATACATGTACTTACTACTTAAATCAAGCTATTTATTAAATTTTGGTAAAAGATTAATTTAAAAAATATCATAGTAGTTAAAAAAAAAATGAGATTTTATTCTCCAATTTACGTATTGACATAATGCACATTTATACTGTACAATGTACATTTAATTTTTTTTCATGATCAATTATAAAGATCGATAATTTCGATGTTATCTGGATAAATTATAACGTGCATGTAAATTGAAATAATAAATAAAAAATAATCAGATTAAAGCACGTACATGTTCTTATATTGTATCTTGACATAATAAAATTCTATAATTTATCGAAAACCAGTTTTTTCAATTTTTATTTTTAGAAACAATTGTTATAACCATTATCATCTTCTTCTTTTCTATTATGAATTAAAGTACTTATTGTCTGATAAATTTACGCACTGTATATTTATATATTAATAGATTTTAAAAATAAAAATAAAATAAATATGTAACTATACATGTAACATGCTACCTGGATGATAAAATATATAATGTATTAACAGATTTAAAAAAAAAAAAAAGAAAATAGATGTGTAAATATTGCATGTTGTCTTGAGAAGTAAAATATATAAATATAAAATCATGTTTAAAAATCATTTTAATAATATTTTTGCACAGTACATTCACACGCTTTGCTTGTACAATGTTTAGATTACAAACTGGCATGTTGACTGGTCGATGCGCTGATGGTCAACGCATTTTATTACTTATCCTGATTGACAGACTTGTTCGGCATGTTGATTGGTCGACGCGCCGATGAGTTAATCGCTAATCCTGATTGACAGCTCTGTTACGCAACACCGAACGCGCGTTCGCTTTCTGGGACCGCTACTGAATTTGGGGTTCGCTTTCAGCGTTCGCTCTGGGTTCGCTGCGGGTTCGCTACGGGTGCGCTCCGGGTTCGCTCGGGGTCAGCACTAGCGGACCCCGAGCGAACCCGAAGCGAACCCAGAGAGCGAACCCGGGGTGCGCTCTGGGTTCGCTTTCTGTTAGGTTGTGTCTGGTCGGTACTGTATTTACTATTTATAGTAAAGCAAATGTATATAAATGTTGTTTTACTATGAAATTCAAATTCTTATACTCCATTTATCTCAAATAATACAGTTTTTTATATTAAATGGAAAGATTACTTGTTTCTCAAATACTTCAAAATGTTTCTTAATTTACCATTGTTGACATGGAGTTTGAAAGATATTAATGCTCTTAATCTCCAGTCTAGTCTAGAATAAAGTATCGTAGTAACTCAAAGTTTCAATCCACAGTAAAGGTTCACAAAATCATAGTAATTCAAAGTTGCAATCCATACTGAAGTTTCACAATATCATAGTAAATCAAGGTATCAAAGAACTCCATTGTGTACTATAATGACCTATAGTTAACCATAATCAATTTTTCTTAGGGGTCCTTCTCACCCTTCCCATTCCCCCGCATTGAAAATCCTGAATCTGCAACTAAATTGAAATCAAAAATGTGCTTGAGTACTTGTATTATGTATATCGTATTAAGGGAACAAAAATACCATATAACATTGTAAGTGGAATTGTAAGTGCTATGCAAATTTAGCGATTGATCCTTAAAGATCGTATAAATTTTTAGGAAAAAAGTAATGTAAGCGATTATAAAAAGATAAGTCTTACCTCTGATGTGAAACATATTATTAGCGATATACAGGTTCAGAGATCTAGCACTCTAACTATAATAATGCAAAAATTGAATTTTTGCTAAAAATTCTGCTTATACCGTATGACAAACTATTCAATAGAATGTACAAACGTTTTATCGGCAATAGTTGGCCTCAACACTTGTAGAGCTGCGATGCCGTTCGTCTCGCTGTAAAACTGCCATTTGACAATCTTTCCACTTTTCTTGATGCTCATATTTTCATTTAGGCCAGTGTAGGAATATCTAGTGTAAAGGTGTCGGCGAAATTGTAACAGTGGAGCATCGTTGCTGGGCTCAGGGACTGTGTTAGAAGCTGTAATTACATACAATACTTACAGACCCTAAAACGTGCTACTACACCTCAGAAACGAACCGTACCGTTCCGTGCAAGAAGCGTACCGTACCGTGCAAGAAGCGTACCGTACCGTTCACAAAGCGAACCGTACCGTACACAAAACGAACCGTACCGTGCAAGAAGCGTACCGTACCGTACACAAAACGAACCGTACCGTGCAAGAAGCGTACCGTACCGTACACAAAGCGAACCGTACCGTTCATGAATAATTTTTGAAATAATTATGCAAGCCACGCCCCGAAAGCATTCCTAATCTTGCAATGACCGAATACAGTAAGTAATTTTCTTTTATTTCTTTCGACGCAGAGCCAGTTCAAGAAGGACGGAAAATTACCTTAGAGATTCAAAATATTATTATTAAGCACCATGCATCTGGACTCACATCTGTTAATATAAGGAAAGTAGTTACGACTTCAAAACAACTCGACAGAGTGTGAGGCGATTCCTTATTCGCTATGCATGATCGGGTTGTGCTTGACTAACATTTTTTCCGTATTAAATGCAGCATCATATTATTTTCGTGTACAATTTATAATAAATAAAAGTGAATTAAATACTTTATCGTATATTTCTATAGCTTTTATCTACCCTATTCTTGTCTCTATGAACGTTCTCGGAAACCAAGACACATCGAAAAATGTATTAGGATTCTGTGCTATTTTCCGAAACTAAGCCCTTAAAATCATTTTTTATTCATGTAAGTAAGAGTTTTAGGGAGAAATGATTACAGATTTAGCAACAACAACAAAATTAAAAAAAAAATTACGAACTAAATTATCAATTTGAAAGCGGACATGTTAAAATGTAAACGCCTCTCAATCACTAGAAAAAAAATAAATAAAAGCGATGTATATATAAATAATATGTGTCGGTTTACACTCTTTTGACCAACTCAAGATGTTATCGCCAATATAACATACTGTCAAAAAGTTCGATCGCCACATTTTCGCATGGAATTTTCAGTTTAATACACGTAATCCAAAAAAAAAAAAAAAAAAAAAAAAAAAAAAAAAAAAAAAAAATCTGGATATATGTCAGAATTAATTTTTATTTAAAGCATTTTCCCATTTCATTTGCTTTATTCACTGAAATCTGCAGGTAAAATATGTTACCTGGAATTTACACAAAAAGCCCAGTTTAATTAAAAAAAAAATGCTTAGTCCGTGCATGCGTGTTCATCCAAGTTTTTTTTAAGAAACACTGTACATTTCTTGTCATGGTCTCGTTATCTTGACTGGCGTCTTTCTATACTTTCGTTATTTACTCTAAAACATTTGAAAATTTCGATCAAGTATTGTCTTCACACGTGCACAGGTAAAAACTTGAGCTGTGTATATTGAACCGTAATCCCGTTAGTCCAGATATGCTTACATTCACACGTGTATCAACAGTTTGCTGTCTTTAACAGTAAGTCTACAACAACGAATCAGTTTTAATCAGCAGATTTAAACAGAATTTCATGTGCAGTCAGCTTTTCTTCTAGATCTTCAATAAAAAAGCGAGTTTGACAAGGAAACAAAGGGGGGGGGGGTAGCACCCGGCATGGGCAAATTAATCATTTTCAAAGTTTTTGAGGACATGCATGGCTGCATATTATTTATTTTCAAGGTAATTGAAAACGGACTATTTATTTCTAACATTGTGACATTAGTTTTTTCGGAAATCTGTCTTGCCGTCAATATATATTATATACATTTATACATTGTAGATTAAATTGTAGCTGTCTTAACCGTTTTCTCGATTGTAACTTCCCTTCAATAAACGTTTTTACACATTGATGGAAAATTTATGTAAAAAGGAAAACAATTACGCGCACAAAAAATAAGTAATATTTTGCACTTACTGTGTGCACTTCTACCGATTACTTTTATATGTATTTTTTCTAGTGAGCCAAACACCTAAGAAATCAATGTAAAAAAAAAAAAAAAAAATTCCTCGCAAATATAACTAATAACTTGTTTGATCATTCAGTCAAGAGAAAATCTTTTGTTTGTTTGTTTTTTTTTTAAAATGAAGCAGCAGTGACAAGAACGTGAAAAGAATGGTAGACGAAATGAAAGCATGAGCGATTTATAAAATCAATCTCATTTGTTTAAAAGTGTGATAAGTGAATATTTAAAATAATAATTGTATTCAATTAGGAAAATTTAAAGGAAAAAAAAAACATATGTACGCTTATTCGTTAAAAATATACAGAAAGGCCTTTTATGGCGACGCAACCAAAATATTTTTTTTTCATCCTTGTTATACAGTGTTTGTTGATATGTTCGATTTATTTCCAAGTTTTACTGAACCATAAGGCGATGTTGTACAAAATAAGATAAAAAAAGATAGACAACTAAAATTATTTATTTTAACATTGAAAGTAGTTCATACAGAAAGTAAATTTAAAAAAAAGATACAGTTATTAAGACGACTAGTTACATTTAATAACAAAAATACAGCTGTAAAAAGGAAATATTTATAAAGTTTTTAACTTAAAAACAACTTATTAAAAAATGCTTGCAACACCGTCCTTCCATTTATATAAAATAAAGAGATTATAATAAACGACTTTATGAAGTAGCCAATCATAATCTAAAGCGTACAGGCTCCGCCCACTTAATTTACATACCGTTCACCAAAGCGTACCGTTCACAAAACGAACCGTTCCGTGCAAGAAGCGTACCGTACCGTGCACAAAGCGAACCGTACCGTACACTAAACGAACCGTACCGTGCGAGAAGCGTACCGTACCGTGCACAAAGCGAACCGTACCGTTCACAAAGCGTACCGTTCCGTGCAAGAAGCGTATCGTACCGTACACAAAACGAAACGAACCGAACCGTGCAAGTGGTGTAGTAGCACGTTTTAGGGTCTGTATAACAAAGTGCCAGAGACTGGTGATTTTGCTCCGTCATAAGCGTAAATCGTTATATCATTTAGGATAAAAATCCCTATAAGCGTTAATTCATTTAAGCGTGTGCGTTATTATAAGTATGTTTACTGTTGTTATTTTTGAATCAGACTTTCATTGACACGCCTTTGACCCAAGTCATTATATGATGACATCTAACCTTTACATACGGGGGTTGAACCGGTAAACGCTCCATTTCTTTGACATGCTCTATAGAGACTTCCGCTGGTGTGAGAAAAACCGGATTTGCATCTGTATTCCAACACATCTCCTATTCCAAGAGCACCATTAGTTGTGATAATTTCAGCGTTGTTTTCTGTCGTCACACTCGGTACAACGCATTTACCTTCGTTTCAGAAGAAAAGATGAATGGAACTTGTATCTACATTTGCACCCCGGAGACCAACAATTTCATTAAAGAACCCCTTAAAATCACCCAATGTTGAAGTATTAAGTGTTAAATTTCCCTACCTTCTATATTATCGCAGTATCCACAAGTGCTCGGACAGGTGTGCCAAACAAATTCATCATTTTTACATGCTCTGGCATCCAACTTGAGGTATTTGTTGCAATTTGGTGTAGCATCTTTACATAATGTCCGAGCTTTTCAAATTTGAATTATAAAATCTGTAACTGATACCTCGTGAAATGCTAAGTTCTGCAACTGAATCTTCTTAACTTCAGGAATAACATTTTTCTAAAATTGTTTAAGTCTTTCTACTGGCTCAAATTTATAAAATTTTTCATGTAGTTAAATAAATTAAAATTTTTGGTGCTCGTAAAATATAACCGTATTATTTGTGTGTGTGTGTGTGTGTGGGGGTGGGGGGGGTGGGGGGTTAACAATCAAACACATGTATTATAAAACATAAAAATATACCTTGTGGTGAATAGGAGCAAACAAAGGATATATAGAATGCTGACCCACAGGATATTCCTCGCCATTTTCCATCTCTATCAGATATGTATGCACAGCTTTTCGAAGAACCTACGCCACAGTAAATCTTATTAAGTATACGTTGTTACATGTAAAACGTCAGCGTATATTAAATATAATGTTAGAGTAAATCAAAAGAACTAAATTTGTATGGAACAAGATGTGTTTGTGAAACACTATGCCCCTTATGGTAGCACAATTCTGGAGTGGGACGTAGACTACAGTGCAATAGTTATGGCCAATGTTCAAGTTTTTCAAATGTAAGTCAAAGGTCACAGTTGAGGTCACATGACAAAAAATGTTTGTACCAATGGAAAGGTCTTGTCATAATGAACACTCATGTCAAATATTGACAGCGCAATAGTTATGGGCTAGGTTAAAGTTGACAACAGGCAGACAGACAAACAGACAGACAGGACAAAAACAATGTATCCCCGGGATCTTTCGATCCCGGGGCATAAAAATTTACCTTTTTTATAGTTAGTCCATTGAACTTTTTCTCCATCTGGCCAAGCTCCATTATCAAGACCAATCCAAAAATTGACGCCATCTTGTCTATAACATAATTGTTTCATTTTAGTGTGATAAGTACGAGGGTTGACCCAAAAATACTGTCACAACTGCTATAAATCAAATGTTATCAACAAAGTTTGACATATTTTAAATACCCCTATCTATTTTGAATTTTGCCTGAAATTTTCATTCTAATAAATACAATACTTTCAAAAATATAAAGATATAAACAACGATAGGTTTTGTCCATCGCCTAGTTGGACGGCTAGAATGTTACCGACGTCATTATGACGTTACTTTAAGATGCTCGTTTTCAGTTCATCTGTATATCATAATCTTTTTAACCTCCCACATGGTTCTTTTTAATCATCTTTACTACAATTTTGCTATAAAGGGTCTTGTTTTGAGTTGTGGCTTAAAATTATTCAAAGAAGATGGGTGAACATGACGAGTGAAAAGCCTATAGTGTGACAAACATGAAGGTAAAAAATTAAATCTCAATTGTATCAAAATTTTCCATCATATTTCATCTAACATTAAAATATACTTTATATAAAATCTCTACAATTTGCAAAAATCTCTCAAAGATTGAAATTATTTGCTTATGAATATTGTAAACACACAAAAGAGGGCAAAAAAGAGTTATTTTCTCATGCTATAATACTATTTTTCGATATGAGTGGGTCTTCGATCCATTTTTTTGAAAGTTAATCCTTCAAGTTTGCATAAAAATATACATTTCTTGGTTTCCAAAAATATGGAGCAAAGACCCACTATACCTTAAAAATATACTTTTATGACATATCATTTGCATCTTTTCGAGAAATACTTGAAGTCCATTAGTCAAGGGTCATACCACAAACATGATTTAAATGCTACTAATCTTCAGGACTTGTGTAGTCTAGTGGTTAGCGTGCTAGTCTCGAAAGAAAATGATACTCAGGATTTTTATTGCGGGGTTCGAACCCCACGAATACCACATTATTTTTTAATAAAAGAATAAATTTTGCGGAACAAAATTTCCTCAGAAAAGTTTTGTTTATCACAATTTCATATATTTCAATAATGAGAACTTTACTCTAAATACTGAATTCACAAATTGAACATGATTTGTATATATCTGAAGCTATTGGCATTCTGCACACTATGTTCACACATCTCCTTTGTCCAAATTTTATTTCTAAAGTCATTCCTTTTTGCGTTAATCTTACGTAACACAAGTAATAGCTTTTCAAAAAGCTTGCCTGACTAAGCAATTAATATCTATAAAACATATAAGCATGATAAGAAATAAATGCTTCCGTCCATTTTTGTCGGGGGAAGGGGGGGTTGGTAATACTTCATTTATTTACCTAACATTTTTAAGACTTTATACAAAACATCATGATTTTTTTTTATCTGTACTTCTTTGTGACTCATCAGAAGAATGGAAACTTATTGGAAAAGTGAACATTTAGGTAAAGATATTTATTGTATCTCAAATAACAGGAATACCAGTGGAATGTACATGATATGGTTAACATTTTAAGCGTTTAATATGACATGATATTGAAGATTCTTTTAATGGTTTTAAATTAAAATGAAGTAAAGAAATCAAATTAATTTGATTGATTTGTGCTGGGTTAAGGTTACATGAATTAATTTCAAATGCATAGGAGATCAAAAATGACGATGGACAGCTGCAAATATAATAGCTAGTCATAATACCAATTGAAATAATTTAAAATGAATATTTGTATGAAGACTGAATTGTAGCGTGCACTTTTATACATAATTTTTTTATGGATAATATTAATCACCGAAATTTGAGAAAAATATTTTTTTTCTCAATATAACAGGCCCATAGCAACGTTTTCAAGGGGAAGGGATGTAAACACCCCCCCCCCCCCCAAATGACAAGCCAAAAAAAATGTAAACTGCCCAAACTCGAAAATCCTGTTTTATAGTTAGGGGTGGGGATGGGTAGGGGTGGGGGAACAATTCTGTAACTCTAACTTCTCGGCACATTTTTTATATGCTGAAATTTGCCTGTGTTCAACCATACAACAATAAAAAGTGAGGAGGAAGCAGCTTCAAAATGACAATTTACATGATAAACTACACTGTATATAAAATATATGATCAGAACACCCCCCCCCCCCCAGTGTCGCTGCGAACTACGGGCCTGTATAAGAAGTTAGGACATGTACATGTATGGACGTGCATGATGAAATTTCCACAATGTGAGACACAGAGCAAAATCTATCAAACCAGAAAAGTTTACCAGATGTTGACAATATATTATCACTATAAAGTAAAACTGCACACCGTTTCCTTTGTTGATGTGGAGTCTATTGAAAAAAGTATCGTAAATATATGTCTGAAGACAAACGATTGATTGATTGTGTGTTTTTGAACGTCCCACTCGAGAATTCTTCACTCAAATGGAGACGTCGTATGTTATGAAAAAAGAGATAAAAATTGTAGTAAAAAATCTTAACATGAAGAATAAGGTTTAAAGAACAAACTTAAGTTTATTTATTTCCATGGTAGTTACATGTATCTCACCCATTTAATAGAACAATCCAAGAAAAAGGCGCAAGATATTTGGCGCGAAATGATGGTGTCACCCCTTTCGCAGAAGACAAATAGACTAATCCAATAGATTAGAAAAGCAGGAAAAATGTTAAACGGACATGTTCGTGTAAGGAATTGCAAAGAATATACAGGTATATGCAAAAAAAAAAAGGAAGGAAGGAAGTAAACAATCAATATCTTGCATCAGTAATATGATTCTTTCTTCTGCAAGCTTTTTTTGTTATAATAAGACGGGGAACAAATTCCGTTGTAAATCAACTTGCACAAAATCTAGCTCACCAAGTATGATCTCTTAGTTTCGGACCATGGAAAAATTGATCCTTATACTGTCTGACGAGTCTGGCTCTTTGCATCAGGCAATCATATTAAATATTTGTTGTCGAAGAGAAACGTCATAACGACGTCGGTACATTCTTGCAGTGCAGCGATAGATGAGACCCAATGTTGTGTTTATTTTAATATTCTATAAAGTATTGCATATATCCGAATGAAATTTAAGGTCAAAGGTCAAAATAGAGAGAGGTATTTCGGTTATTAAAGATTTTATAGAAATGACATTACGTTTGGATCAACTCTCCTACATACACTGACCTCTGGACATAAACATTATTATAGCAAGTGAACTTACACTAAACTTCTCAGAAAATTATTCTCTTTGATATCTTTACTGGACACTAGCTTCGCACTATTTTCATCAGCGCAACGCAATAATGCAGTACTACGGTCCACCTCCTCTTCAAAAGCCTTATAGCATTGGCCCTGGAATGGTGTCCAGCCAGTTTTGCAACCTGTGTTTGTTTTGGATATTTGTACAATAATTAGTAGTTATCTAGTTAAAGTCCAAGTTATTTCCCAAACTATTAATTTATAACTTATTGAATCAAATAACGAATTTTGGATGCAAAGCGTAATGTTTTGCCCCGGTAGTAGATGTTATCATAAAATAATGTCTTGTGCTAACTTACGTCCACAAACAAACCCAGCACCTGACCAAGTTCCATCAGCTAGACAAGTGATTGTTTGCTTTTCAAAGTTGTTTGTTCTGCACGTAAGTACTACCGTTTCACCAACAAAATATGTTTCTTTCAATGTTTCGCTGGTGGAGTCGGATGGGATGGTTGGCTTCAAACACCTCACTGACCCAACTAAAAGTGATACAATTTTAGATTTATCAAAAACCCAAATTCTTGAACAGTTGAGTTGTTCAAATAATGCAAATTTCTTTACATTATTTATAAATTCAAAATACTGAATCAGATATAATTATCTTCTGCACTGTTTTATGTTTTATGTCCATTCTAATCAAATATTATTTTTAATATTCAATAAATATAGTTTTTCATATACATTTTCTAGTATACTACTCAAAATGAATTTATTTCAAGAAACCATTGTTCTTATAAGATTATTATTCTCAGAAGAATACCTCCAATTTTTGTTTGTCTATCACACATTTTACAAGACATTCTGCAGCCTCGTTTGAGTTCTGGGTCTTGCTCACATTTCGATATATCCACTGTTCTCTCCGCACAATCATCAAATATATCGTAGCACTTTTCTGAATTAGAATAAAATATGGTAAATACCCATTTATGATGCTATTTACTCGTCCAAGAATCTTTGGTGCTATTAAACAAAATACTTAATTTATTTCATATTATTATAATAATACTGTACCGATTCCACACACATCACAGTAATCTCGAGTACACAAAAACGTATTGGTAATACACCAAGGTCTGGTGCCGTGACCAGGATTACGACAATAGTTCCCAAGCAGATCGTCATCTAGATCCCTGTAAGTTTATCACAGAATATGCATAACTTTTACCCTGTACTTAATAACTTGATTTTAGAACATATGGAAACATTTAGAAGCAAAAATACTGTAAGCACTACTTGAATTCGAGTTTATTTACCAAACTGCAGGAAGAAAAAAAAGAAAGTTTAACTTACATCGGATTATAAGTATTACTAAGACAGTGTTTGACTTCCGACCAGGGTAAACATTTATTAAAACGTCGAGTGATATCAACTGTACCCCTGTAGTTTTCTCCGTTCTTGGTATAACAGAAATTAGGGTCATTTGCTGAAATTAGAATTCCAAACTAAGTCAATACTGCGGTTACAAGATTTGACATGAAAATTTCTTGGTAAAAAAAAATGAAGGTAGTATGCATACGTTCCAGCAGTGTAACTTTTGCCGAAAACCCTCGTGCAGCTTGCCGTAAACCAGTCTGAAAGGTCAGTCCTAGTTGGTTTTCTTCCGAGAGGACCGTCTTAGGGAATCTATCTCCACAGTAACTGTCAAATATAAATTACTCGGTTGTAATATTACAATTTATATGTAGCTGTTGGAACTAAAGACTTTGGTTCACTATGGTCACATTCGTCTGTCCAGATCACCCAATTACATGTATCACCACTTGGAGTTCATCATAATTTTGTGCGAACGTGAAACTTCTTTATCTAGGATACTTTATAAATACGTTATATATAAATGGGTTCAGTTCTTCTCGTAAAGACTTTCAAGATTTGAAAATCTAACCGATAAAAGAGAAATAGAAAACCAACGCTGTATCTATGGTTTAGGTTAAAAAAGTCACAGTTTTCATTATTTCCATATCAAATTATTGTCATAATGTTCTCCACACCTATAATCTCACCTCAGTCCAAACTGACCCGGAAGCGAATGTCTGACCTCTAGTCTATCGACGCAAGTTCCATCTGTATTAGCTGCTATGTCAAAATCATTAAAATCAAGTTTTAACTTGAACCCGTCTGGTGCCTGTAATTGAAAAGAAGAAAAAAAAGAGAGAATACAATTAGGAATTTGGAAATTTACTATTTCATCCTAATACATGGGCATTTCATTCATTACATATTCATTTTCATTCATACGTTGATTTGTCTATCTCATTCAACTCAAAATCGAGGACACCACAGATAGTTGCGCGTTTTTTTTTTTTGTATTTGGATGTACATGTATGACTAGACTCTAGAGAGAGACCTTGAAGGCAATCTAACATCTAAATTTTTTTTGCAAAATGTGATAACTTCAATCATCACCGTCTCTTACTTATGTAGCAATATACCAGTATTAGCTACATAGGATGTTTATGTTTCCCAGTTGACTCGATACACGTCATGAGTATATTCTGCATACACTCAGTTTCTAAACTGTGGCAGGCCACTGACAAATAAGTTGATGTCACAAACATATCAAAAATTGCGTTTAAAGTCAACATTTAGCACATTCTATAGTCGATACAGTGACCTCGTTTGCAAATGCAACCTGTAGCTTGGTCGAATGTTGCCTGACGTTTTTATACAAATTAAGGTCCGCGTTTGCTCAGATTACAATCTGAGTTGTTTAAAGGTACTTTGAAGCATTGTTTTTGTTTGTTATCTTCACACTTTAAGTTTATTGATCAACTGTATTATGTATTAAGCATAACATTTCTGTTATTCATATTTTATGAAGAAATTTCATGTTTGTTTTTTTTTAATAATATATTATTACTGATACTGACGATGACATTCCAGAAACAGGTTCTCCCTCCTGGGTACGGATTTGGGTGTCCTGGACTTGTAATAACTGCAGTTGTCTGTCCATCTTTGCTCAAGTGTATCTTGTTTCCGCAGTCTACAAGACACTAGCATGTTCACCAATCAATTCTCACAAGCTCAATTTAACATTCTCTGTTTTACCATGGCCGAACATGGATTTTTTGAATTGAAATTATAATATTAAGCTTTTAAGTCAGCATCATGGTCATGAAACAACATATTTTAGCACAAAGTATAATTAATGAAGAGAACAGTACTTTTCTGTTAGTAAGAATTTGCTTAAAACCATCGCACATTGGAGACAGTATTTTTATGATATGAATCAATAAATAATGTCCCTTTTCGTAGAAAGCATGCGTGGAACAAATAAAATAATATGATTCAATGAAAAATGCACTTATATTAATGCATAACAATCACAACAAAACCTCTAGCTTATCCATTCGTTTCTTGGGATAATAGATATTTATACAGAATTCACTCTTAAAGTCGTCACAACTGACTTCTTAATCAATGCTTTTTTTTGTCTTAATTGATAATCTTTTTATGTACAGATTGCAAAATCGAAAACTTGCTTTGTTTCACCATCTCTTTCTTCGTTATACTAGAATAAATTATTTTACCATCTTTGAAATTGAAAAGCTATACACATAATATTTAGAAAAATCATCAGAATTCTTTAGAAAAGTTATCTCTACTCCTGAAAATAAGGACTTTAAATCTATACATTTTCAGAGGTAATGACTTTACTATCAAATAAAATACATGTACGCTATTTTTGTCTAGTATACATTTTCAGAATTTATGATTCCAATGTCAAATAAAATGCCCTATTTTTGACTGAAAACAAACCGTATTGCGTTGGATAGTAGTAACAGATGTAGAAATACGTCTTCTTGTAATAATTTGTGGATATTTTTGGAGTGTGGCCCGAGGACGTAGGAGCTTTAGACTTTGTCCCTACACTGTATGTCTCCTCTTCAAAACTCATATCTACGAAATACAGAGTAGGTTAACAAGATTATCTGGATTTTAATTTTTCTTTTTAACGCAAATGTTTTATAACTAATCACTAGGAGATAAAGTTGTCAAAACACAGAGTATGTACACGTGTACCATCAGTTCGTTTGATTGATTAATTGTTTGTTGTTTAACGCCGTGTCGGTTGTGGTTCAATCATATCTTAGCCGAAAATGGAAAATGTTATGCAATGTATTGATTTGAATAATACCTGTTACAAATATCTCTATTTACCTTCAATCTTCTGACAGGAGGAGGATTCTTTAAACAATATAAATGGTTCTTTGTTTGGGATTTGAAGAGGGTTTCTGGTAAATCCATCAGATCGACAACAAAAGTACAGGGTCACGTGATCATCGAAGGAACCATCAGGAAGGGAACCAGTAAAATTATCTGGCGGTTGGCCATCAACCAAAGCAATGGATCCTTCAGAGAATTCTAGTTTCGAGGTAAGAATATGAGTTTTAGTTAATTTGCTCATGGATCGTTACCGTCAGCTTTTATCTAAACATCTGAGTGTTTTTAAAAATATCTATACCAGTAGTATCTTGAGAGTTTCACGTTTATTATATTTTAGTTCACTTACTGATAGAATTCCAAAATATATAGAATGCGTTATTCATCAAATATTTGTACAAAAGACCAACATACCATCAGGACATTTCCCTCCGACTCGGAGAAAACAGTAGGATCCAGGACCCCACTGTGCGTGGTCTCCGATTGGGGTAGTCTCGGTCTTTGTACAGAATTGGTAACGTAAAGTTTGTCCCTCAGACTCCAGCGCTGAGAAAGTATCAGACGGGGCCGAGGTGTAGTAAGAATATTCTAAAAATTGCCCCGATTGAAAGCCTTTAGGGCAACCTGACGCGGTTTGAACCATTGCAAATGAATCTTTTGGCCATCTTGAGTAAGAATGAGTTTCCTCTGAATGAGAAAGACAGTATTGAGAAAGATGAGTAAAATGTCCGAAATAAACAAATCAAAATGTTTTGCTCATATTTTTATGCCACTGACGTTTGATAAAAGAATCTTTGAAAATGTTCATCACATATCACGGAAAAAGAAACACTTATTAATCTTTTTTGACTTCAAAGATAAGGCATTGCAACACACATTAAATATAACTTTGCAGTAGCATTGAACTTAGTCGTAAACACATGATCTTGGTTCGGGATCATAAAAAAATAAGAATAGCTTATATGTAAAGGATCATTTTTTTTAAATTTGTATACATTACATTAAATTAACTTTTGGGACGAAATGTTTACTTCTACAACTATAATAATGATCAATTATGAGATCACAAATACACTGCAGTAGTACTTACTGAAATCAGTCGGAGTATAGTAGCAAAAAAAGAGTTTATAATTGGTTGTATACGAGATCCTCAGATAAGGTATCTCTCCAGATGTATGCAAGAGTTCTTTTCCATTTTTGATTCTCAAATATTGCTTGCTTGAGCCCATTCCTAAAAAAGCATAAAAATGGAAAATTCTTATATAAAAAAACTCACAAAAACATACAGTGAAAAGTTTTTCTTCTGGCATATCATAATTTTTTTCCTATTAAAAATTTAAATATTAGAGGACCTGAGACTTGCTGACAACCGGAAGTGACAGGAAACAAAATAAATGGCTCCTCAGAGGGTAGATTCACTGCAATCGAAGTAGAACCGTCACTACGGCAACAAAAGTAGAACCTGGTGTCATCGGAGAATTGGCCATCAGGAAGAATTCCGAAGATATCCGATGGATTCATGGTGTCATCATACTGTATATATCCAGTATTAAAGCCTGAAGAGAGAAGTGTTATGAAACTCATGGAGAACGCAAGTATTAACAAGAAAAACGTGTTTACGTATACTAGTAATTTTATATTGATTGGTACGTCATCAAAAGTAATTTGTAAAAAAGGTTACTCTGAATCAAATGATAAAATAATCTACAAGATTTATTACAACCGTTACTCTATTTCCTGGTGTATTTACCACTGGGACAAACCCCTCCTTGGCGGTAGACACAATATTTTCCTGCAGGCCAGCTGGGTGAAATACCATTTTCCTCTGTTTTCTTTTTAGTACAAAATTTGTAAAAAGTAGAGGTGGGTTTTGAAATTATGTCAGCACTAAATATAGAACTAGTGTGTTCCATTCGTGTGTCTTTATGATGTTGCGTAAAACTGCCTTCATAAAATCCACCGGGACAGCCAGTTATCTTGGTACTTAAGGTGGTGAAGGCTTCGGACGGCCATTTTGTTGAAATCATTCGATCTGAAGATATAAATATTCCATTTGCATTTCTCACTTTCCCAGTTTGCTCTCAACCTTTATATAATAAATGAGAGAAATACCCAAATTCGACTATTATAAAACCAAATAATAATAATAATACCCGGTGATAATAAAAACAAAGAAAAGGAAACGGGCAAACAAATACACGTACAAACAAAATTGTATCAAAAGATAGAGAGAGTTTTCAGTTTTCTCCTTGTTTGACCATATTTTGTCTTATTCATTGAAGTACAAGATGTCTAAGTGAAATACACATGCCCTAATGTGTGTCCCAGTTGTAATGTAGACACATCTGATAATTTTAAAATGACCTTGAGTTAGGGTCATGCGATATTAAATTTAATGCCAGATATGTAGTTTCCATTTGTTGCAATTAAACTTTAAAATAAATGATTCAGATCAAAATGTAAACAAAACAAAGTGAAAACAGACAGAAAGACCTATCAAAAGCAACATCACTTCCGATCTTTGATCTAAGAGTTTTGAAATTAGGGGGAAAACATTCATTTTTTTTTAAAGTAAAAAAAAACCATGCCTCCATCATAACGTGTCCGACATCCTGTAGAAGGGTCCAGGCCCTCTGGACAGCGACAAGTACACTTGTCCTTAACAACAGCAGGGTAACCGGAGTTGGCACAGGTCAAAGAAAAACTGCTACACCTCAGACCTTTAAATAGAAATACTGAAATTATACTTACAAGAGTGTTTTTTTATCGTTTTTTTTTGTTTATTTTAATATTTTCGTAACGGTTTGTAGTCCGGTTCTTCATTAATATGAAAGCACATTGCAAAATTAGATAACTTACAAACATCTTTTTGTTGCTGTTTTTTTTTTTTAAATAACAAAGGATGCAAAGATATATTTCTATTTATAAACACATCTTTTTTTCCTAGTTCTCACTTTCACTGACTTCAATGCATCAGGTCAATTAAAATTAGTAAAATGGTTTTCCCAGTATTTATATGTTACTATTCACTTTAAAAAATATTGAATTTTGGACCTATGCCGTATACGTGTAAGACATAGTTTTCATGTTAAAAATCTCCACATTTAGTCTGATCCTCAATGCTAAACACCTTGACAATCCGTGATTTGCGACACCTCACTGAACAAATAATATTGGTATGGGTCCGTTTTCTTTACTAGGTATTCCAATTCTGGATCAAATATAGACATTGTCTTTCCTCCAGTTGAAAAAGCCTGTAAAATGTATTTAAGACTGTCGTTTATTCTGTATTTTCTTCCTTAAATGGTGAAACTTTACCTTTGGCTATGGATCATTGCATATGAAAGTTATGATACATGAATTAGAATTTTTTTCTTGACGTTTCTTAGACCTAACTAACGAATCTGAAATTTTCTTTGATAGGACATATATACATGTATAATGATCTTTTAAATATATTGATGGTTTGTTATTGAAACACTTGAATATAAAAATAATGAGTCCCAATCAAGGTCTCGATTTTATCATGCAAACAAAACTTCTTCAATTATTTTATTATTACATGGTGATATTTTACAGTCCATTATGTACATTATGTATTTTAATTATAAACATGTATATTAGTAATTGTATTATGAACTTACATATAACCCATAGTGCATCACATTCGACAAGTCATAATATCCGAACAATTTGCTGTGCCTTATATTCTGTTCATAATATTGACTATGGTAATCTACAAAATATAAAATGTATAAAAACTACAGTGAATACTTATGCAGAGTATTAAAGACTCTTCCTTTTGGAATACATGTTGCATCTAATCTTCACCAACCAAAAATCAAAGTGATAAATAATATATGAAAATTAAAAAAGATAATTCTTATTTTCTCCTGGTAAAGAAACCTTTGATTTAATACAGTTATGACTGTAAACATGTTTATCTCTCACCAATTGATATCTACGTTGTACATTATTGTAAGGAATATTCATATATTCCTGTTAAACCTCACCCTTTTGAATATTGTCGTAATGAACACCCACGTAGTTATCATGCAAAGGGTTCTTTTGCTCATGTCCCAACCCAAAAGCATGGCCAAGTTCATGAACACAAATGTCCTTTAACAAGTAAAAAAAGTTTTGAGATTTTTAGTACACTGTATAAAGATTGTTCCTGATATATTACGAGTTTAACCATTACTTTTATTTTCAAATCTTGATGGAATTCATCATAAATAGTACATGCATTCATTGCATTGCTTATTGTCTGATCTGGTACTAACGTTAGAACAGCAATTAATTTTTTGGCTCTTCTTTAATTTTCCGACGAATGACCAACAACTAAAAAAGTAAAATAAAACGTTAAATAAGGTTGCACATATACAATACTGTTATAATAAAATTTTATTGATAGTTTGAATTTCTGAGGACACAGACACGCCTATACCGAACTATCAGTTTTAACTGTTGTTCATTTTGTTCCAAGAAAATGTAGGTAATACATGTAAATACACATAGTGCATGCATGTTAATAATGATTAATATGTTATAGGTTTACTTCATCTTTTTGTTTTAACACCCGAAACTTCAAACTATCGATGATTATGTTTGAAGTATTTCTCTAGCTAAACATTGATATGGAAATTGATGAACACTAGTCGTCTGTGCAGAATAAATGTTGATCAGATCAAAAGAATTTTTTCAAAAAATCTTTCTCTGTTGACAATACATTTATTTGTTTGGATATGACATCGAAACATAACACACCCACATGTACTAGATTTGCTTTGTAAGACTTACCCACTTGTAAAAATAACACACCCACTTACTAGATTTGCTTTGAATGACTTACCCACTTGTAAAAATAACACACCCACTTACTAGATTTGCTTTGAATGACTTACCCACTTGTAAAAATAACACACCCACTTACTAGATTTGCTTTGAATGACTTACCCACTTGTAAAAATAACACATCCACTTACTAGATTTGCTTTGAATGACTTACCCACTTGTACTTATATGGTGAAGGTAAGTATTGTGGTCCAAGCCGTAGTCCACCTGTGTTGTATTTGTATAAGGCACAAATCTTATACATGTCCAGTATTCATAATGATTGTGAGCTCGTATTCGACCTAACTGCTTTTCTCTATCTGAAAAAAAATTAATGTTCAGGATATCAATTTTAATTAAAAAGATTATACAGTGAAAGGGAGTGAAATACCTACCAGGCAATGTTTCGGTATCAAATAAATACGGCACAATCCCGTTGTCCCAAACTCCAGCGTTCAGCTGAGCAAATCGCTTATTCCTCCCTGTCTGTCCGACTGAATCCTTAATCATCTTTAATGATATGAAGAAACCATATTAAAGTGTTCTATATCCCTTTAATTTACTTTTTAACTCAATTATATTTTACTACACATACCCAGCTAATACACTCCTTTAAATCCCAAGTCACATTCCCAAAAACGACCAATGGCCGACGATTTTTGAGGCAAAAATGGATTCTTCAGACGACAGTCATTGTCTTGTCATCATTGTCTTACCCGATTTTGACCTCCTTTTTCGTCGGCCGACCAAATTTGTGTCCGACCGGCCAAGTTAATTTTTTTTTCTGCGACGGTGGTCGATAATCAGCAGTTTGTTAAGTCGGTCGCCGGTCGGTCGACATTTAGGTATTGGGTTTTCCAATTAAGACGGCCGACGATGCAAATCAAACTGCGGCTCAGTTTTGATGATCGGGCGACGATTGGCACACTTATAAATATTTAAACATTTAAAGTCATCGGTGTTTCTAGGAATTTTAAATGTGACTGCTCCGCGTCGCCCGATACTAGTGTCGGCTGATATGGCGGACGATACGAGAAAAATTTGGTCGCCATACAATCGGCTTAAATGTGACTCAGGTATAAAGGGCACTCTTTCATGATAGAAAATGTATTTGCTCTAAAGTAAAATCATAACGTTTAATCAGCATTGATACCTCACAATTAACACCAGGAGAAGGAACATCCCCGGGACTGCGTCCATGTTTTATGGCCAACTTTTGTTGGCGTTGGTACTCTAGACATGCGTCTTCCTCTTCTTGTATCGCTTCTTCTTCATTGTCTCTGTGCATATCTACCCTCTGAACGAAAAAAAGTATAGAAGAACCAAGCATTTTAAATGAGCACATTCTCGTAAATTTAACTACATGTCAAAATTCAGTCTGATTTGAATATGTTTGCTTACATGTTTCCTTCGTTGATTGTCGTGTGCTTCGTTAGAATCGCCTTTTTTGCCGAACACGTGATATTCATGAGCATTATCTGCATCCCCTTCGTCGTCATCCTATATTATGCAACGAGTGGAAGTTACAGTCGTACATTTTGCCATTGGTTCTATCTGCTCTAACTATAAAAGAAATTTATCATTTGCTGTACTCACGCCAAGATCGTCCGTAGAAGGACGATTATTCCCTTTCTCAATGTTTCGTTCGTCAAGAGACACGTCATCCGGTTCGTCTCTTATCCAATTAGTTTCATCTTTGATCTAAATATAGACAGTAAACTATATATAATTCATTTATGTCACAAAAATATGTTGCATATGAATAATGGAATTTGCTAATTTTAAAGATGCCAAAAGCCTAGTTAAAATTTTGCATTTCGCTTTTTTGATATGTTTATGGTGAATACAAGTCAAACGCACTAAAGCTATGAACTGAATTTATTATACTCTTGCTAAATTTGTATGTGTTTTGCAATAAAGGGTTATCTGAAAGGATTTTGCAAGTAGTTCTGTGTTTAAAACTTCGATTCGTATATCATTTTTTATAACCAAAATGTTTTGTATAATTACTCAAAGGCAGTCTAACTTTTTTTCCACACATACATGTAGATGTTTAGTTTCGATTAAATATAGTGAGCCAATGAATGTATATAGTATATTTAACTTAAAGATTTATTGAATAGACACTAGTTCATTAAAAGTCCAATGTATCTGTCTATGGTATATCGACTACTTCCAACTCTAAATATACATAGACTCTTAACAGGCAGTGCCTTGATATAAAGATATACTGCTAAAAGGGGTTTCAATTTTCATTTTTCTAGGATTTTGTGGGTAACACTCACCCACGATTTTATACCCTCCGCGATTATCATTATCGATATCAAATATATAAATTTAGTATTGAGTTTTTGTTGTCTTTGTGTAGTGGGTGAGGATTGAGTTTGATGTTGTGCTTGGCTTGGTTTTTGGTATTGTTATTGTGAAGCTGTTTACCAACTCTGTTCGGTAGTTTTCGTGACTCTAATATGTCGTAACTTAAAAGAAGACAGGTTTTTTCAACTTTAAAAATTTAAAATGACATTTGAAAATGTAAGAAAGCTGCTGTGTTTATCAGAAGGAGAAGTACAAGGTCAATAAACATTGTATTTGTTAGAAAGCATACTAATAAAACAACCATTTCCCACATCAAGATAACATTTATTTAATAATTATATTTTGAATTTAAAATTTATATAGTCAATGATCATAAGATATCAGTTTTGAAAGTAACCTTGGGAATGCACTGGTAAATATCCAATTGCAATCAGAACGAAGAATTAATGGGCTAGATGACATTTACTGAAATAAATTTTTTTGCTTAAATGGCAAAATTTCACTTTCTTACATATAGTTTCATTACTGGTAAATCTTTAAAATCATCTTACAAATTTAAAAACCATTTAAGAGGCAATATAGCATACATGTACATTGATAAGTTTTGTATAATTCACTACTACTGTATCGCCAAAGAGATTCTCAAGAAAATTACTTTTAGAATTCTTTTATACAAAATATTGAAATAATACTTACAACGGAGTTATCATTGGGTTTTCTAAATGTTAGGAACTGTATAGATACACATTTAAGGACAGGTGATACAAACAAACTTTTATCAAAAATCGTGAAAAGAACAACTCAAGTCATTTTTTTTGTAAGTAAAATGAATAAGTTTAACCGCATAGATTTTAATTTTTCATACACAGTTTCACAATAATGCGATTTAAAGTGATAAAAAGTTGTGTAGATTGATAGGGATGGTCACAGAAAGGTTGAATGTTGAACATCATAGTAAGTTTACAATTTTTTAGTATTTTAGAAATGTGTTATTTGCATCATTTACAACCAATATAGGTCCAAAAATATATATCAATCCAGGAATCCATGTTTTTGTTTGTATCATCTGTCCTTAAAATAGAAAAAAAAGTTGCCAATCATTTTTGGAGCATTATTGACATCCTGAATGATATACTGATACTCCGGAGAGTTCATTACAAAAGTGTGCTATGCCTTGGCCATGACCTGAATGATGAATTTACATTCCATTTAATGACATTGCACATACATGTATATTCAAAATTTCACTCATAAAATATATTTAGTTTTTCGTAATTTCATTAGAAGTATAGATGCATGAGAAGGAAAGTGATTTTTATTTAGTTGAAGTATATCATTTCATACCCCGACATTTTGGTTCTCAGAGGTAGGCCTTAGAATCATGAATTAGCCTTTAAGTCAGACTTCAGTTATTTATAAAAAAATATGAATATTTTTCATATAAAGTGACTCTTGAAAAATTAAAATAAAGAACATTAAAGGGAAGGCATTTTTAATAATGCTTCAAATTTTATGTTCTTTTCATTCTAAAACTTTTAGACAATGTACAAATGCTGACGGTTTTAAGGTTTTACCAAAGGTCAACATGCCCAAAAATTTATTTTTACAACAGCTCCAGAACTATGTGAGGTATAAAATTAAAACTTTTACAGTTTATAAATATATCATTGATTAAGAGATAGAAAGTATCACTTAAAAACAAATATTTAAAAAAATATATTTTTTGAGAAAAAACAATTTCAAAAAATTTGCATATTTAAAAAAATGCACCTGCTTAATTCTGTACTTATAGTGAAAACCATCATTGAAGAAATAATATATGTTTATCAATGAAGGGCAAGTTGGACGTGAATGGTCTCTGAAAGGCTGTTATTGAAAGCATGACATGTATAAAGACAAGAATCCCTATAAAATCCGCCATTTGCAATGTAATTTCGGTTTCAAATCTTAACATTTGGATAAAATAAACAGGGAAAACAACTTTCCAGAGGCTATCGTAGTCCAACTTGCCTTTCATTGATAAACATATATTGTTTCTGCAATGATGGCTTTCACTAAAAGTACGGAATTAATTAGGTGTATTTTAAAAAAAAATATATGCATTTTTTGAAAAGAATTTTTCTCGATAAATACTTTCTTTAAGTATTTGTTATCAAGTGATACTTTCTATCTGTTAATCAATGATATATTTATAAACTGTAAAAGTTTGAACTTTATAAACCACATAGTTTTGGAGCTATTGTAAAAATAGATTTTTGGACACGTTGACCTTTGGCAAAACCTTAAGTGTTAAGTCCGCTACATGTCCACAAAATGGCGTCCCATGCACTGGTAATTTTCATCTTTAGAATGTAGAAAGAAGGTAATCAGTGGAAGTACAGTCTGATAAACCTCATTATCTCAAACTCAATGGGACCGAGAAAAAAACTTCGAGATATCCGAGGATTCGAGATATTTAGGGTAAAATACTTTAAGAATGAGGGGTATGACTTCCAAATCACTTCGATACATCCATGGTATTCTAGATATATCAGTGTTCGAAATACTGAAGTTCAACTGTATGAAGAGAATGAACTTTCAACAGCAGTGATACCATTGTATGACCACGAGTACTTGCTCTCTCTCTCTCTCTCTCTCTTGTCGTAAGGAAAAACACATCCCATGTATATAACAAGCAATATTATTTTATACAAATGTCCTACATTACAAATATGTAGAACCTATTTGATTTCTTTCTATCATCTATTATCTGTGTGCTCCCTTTTATGTGAAAGGCATCAGGTGATACTAGTGTCGCTGAAGACTGGTCATTTTCAAGTGACAAACATCCTAGTAAAGATTTATTCTCAATGACATGCGATATTAATTAATTGATAATATAAACCGTATGTTTATAATGATATTTGAACGTGATAATTGTGCTTTTAGCAGTAGAACTGTTGATCCAGACGATAATTAAAATGTTTGTTAAGGCATTTCATATAAAATGCAAAACTATTTTTCCAAAAGAAACTGATATATGATTTTTAATTTTATGCTGTATATATACTAATGACTCGAAAATTTGTTATTTCTGAATCATTCAATGAAAGTTTCTTGAATACCATTTGAAACTCAAACATTTAATTCTTAATTTAATGCTTTTATTACTTTAAATTTAATTTTTTTATCATTAGATAAAAGTTTCAAGGAATATCTTCGGAAAATCAGTACAAGTGATAATACAATTTTTAATTTGATGCTATAAGTATTATCGAATTAAAAATTTCTATTTTATGATCATTAGGTGAAAGTTTCGATAATGATTTTTAATACTCAATAACTCAATACAATTTTAGATAATGTAAACATGAAGAGTAAAGGGCATAGCTGATTGCACTGCAAATCTACTATTATTAATTGAATATTACATTTTCCTGAATTATGGTTTCCATTATTGTCAAATCTTTAAAATCATTTTACAAATTTTAAAAACCTTTAACGAAGCAATTTAAAACACATAAATGAATTTTTCTGTAAATCACTACAGTCTCGACATGTGGACTCCCAGTGAGAAAATTAAAAAAAATATATATATAAAATTCCTTTATACAAAAGATTAAAAAAAAAGAACTTCTAGGGATAAGTTTTTCTGTATGGTAAAATATTTTTTCTACCTGGCACCAACCGGCTTCCGTATCAAAGTGATAATGATTCATAAAATGATATGATCATCAGCTAACAGGTTATTTCCGTCTTAGTCAAAGTTAGTTTGATCCTTAACTTTGCAAAATACAAAACTGCAGACCCCTTTAATCAACTACTTAATAAAATTTGGTGAAAAACGTTTAACAAGCACGGGGGTTGTACATCGGGGGTGGGGTTGGGGGTCTTGTCCACAAGTACCTTCGGTTTACATTTATCAATTATTACTTGTAGATGAATTTTGCATGTCATCTGGTTAATTGTTTTCAAACTTCTGTTGTTGCCGGTAGGAAACGTTTGTTAAATTTATTGACCTCTTTTCGACCTCGAAGCAAACTTATCTCAAGGGAAGACATGTTTTTAGTGTCTTAGAACAACATTTCTAGCTTTGTTTGTATTTGTGTAAATATCCACAGTGCATAATCGTACCACGTACACTAACCGGGTATATATTTACGTTTGATGAACTGGTTACATGAAACATTCTTTGTTCATAAGATAGACACATCTACAGGTATATTGACAGTCAAAGAACTTGTCACTCAATCTTATAATTCTTGTTTATTATGTCTTCTACTAAAGGCAAATTTTTGTTTGTAGACACCGTCTTAACAGTGGCCAAATTTGGTAAATATTCTAATTGTTGTATCCTGATAGATACAACCCAGCAATCCATACTTAAGAATTTGACAAAAAAATGTTTGATTTAAGTTTTCCATTTTAGAGATATTCTTTGCTATAGCAGAATTTTTCAAAAAATATCTAGCCCTTTTATCCACGAGTATTCAGAGGCTAAATGATTTCAAAATTATTTCATATAAGTTTATAAAGTACAAGCTAGCATTCAAACCTTATATTTCGGCTATTTTGATAAAAGAGAAAATGCACTAAAAGTGAAAGTTTGTCAATTTTGTGTTACATTGATAAGTATTAGTATAAGTGCCTGTTATAACAATGTTAGAATGTTAGCTAGCCCTTATAAACACGTGATATAATTTTGCCACTAAATACATGCATTCTAGAATAAAAGAGCTAGATTTTTTGAAAATTTTGCTTATGCAAAGTGCATTTCATTTGTTAGTTTGTACATAAAATGTCTATAACTTGGAAAATTAACTTTTACCTCAAATATTTTTTGATCAACTTCATATTAATTATGTTTGCTGGGATGTACCTCTCAGTCAATGCGCAAATCTGGAGTGGGTTGGGGGATCCGGAACCCCCCCTCCCTGGAATTTGTAGAGTTATTAAATTTCTTCGTAAAAGTAGCAAAAATGGCCTAAGAAACACTCCAAGCAACACACAGATCCCTCTTAAAATGGTAAGAAGAGTCATGTATCAGAAAACAAATTTAGAAAAGTGTCCCTCTCCCCAGGTTTTGAGATTTTATTTTTATTTCGCTTGTTAAAAGTTTGACATTTTTAAAAGAGTTTATGTGGACTCCCCCCCCCCCCCCCCCCCACCCACCGTTTGAAAAAATTCCGGGATCACGCGCCTGAGGCCAGAGCAATTAAGATTTTTTTTTTAAATACGCCACTCATAAAACGGTTTCTACATATAAAAAATGCCTTTAGTAAAAATCCTTAGGTGATAAACTGTGAACTAATGAATTAGAAAACACGAGATTACATATGTATATATTTCGGTAAGGTATAACTTAAAATGTAGAGATTTTTCTTCTAGTCAAATACAGACAAAAAATTTAAAGGTTATATTATTGTGGAATCAATTACCTTTTCCTGTGACTGAAGATCTTTATTTAAGGCACGCAACAAATTTTTCAAAAGTTGGTGTTTTGTATCGTCCACGTGTCCACTATGTCCAGCTGATGTCCAGAACACTAATATAAGTAGCGAGCACAGAACGAAACAAAATACCTGCATCTTGTTAGCCTGAACGTGTGGTCCTGTATCTACCTGATGTTTCGCATCTTTTATTAAAAATATGTGGAGCAGAACTTAAATTGGAGCCATTTAGACACAATCGTCGCTTTCTACCATTATCGTTTAATGCACAAGGTTGATTAACTCTGGATTTGTGTATATTTCATTTTTAATTACGTACATGCATTGAAATGGTATAATAGGTACACATTTCCATGTAATGGATAAAGGATGCGGATGTATATGTATGATATGTACACCAAGTAACTAACTGATAAGAGGATATCTACATGAGAGAAATATTATATATAGGTATACTTATTACCGATTCACACCTACGGGATATTGTACAATGTGTACATGTAAGATAAAGGTATTATTTGTTGGTTCATTTTCTTTAATGCAAAAAATGAGGCAGTGTACAAAGTAACCCCCCCCCCCCCAAAAAAAAAAAGAAAAAGGTCAAATCCTGTTAATAAAAATCTACATCTACAACAATTGCAAATGAGATTTCCGATCAAATGCCATTACACTGTTTGGAGAAAACGGAAAATTCTCTCAACAATTTCAAGGACTTATAATCAAGTTTTTAATAAAAAGAAAATTATAAGAACGATCTTAATATAATGAGATTTCTTTATTTTACACTAGAAAGTAATTACAAATAGGAAATTTGTTTGAAACTATACGAAAAATCAATGTCAGTGTGACAAGTGAAATAAAAGTTCTGCTCACTGGTTAATGTCTTTAGATTCTACAAATAAATTCAATTTTATACTAAGTAATGTGTCTTTTGATTTCATAAGCCGATACCAATATATGATAAACTGCAAATTTACGATGTTCTTTCTTCAACTCTGTGGCTATGAATAAGATTTTGAATGACCTTATAAATCTCTTGACCCAGACTATTGTTGCCTAAATCTCCATCGTTATTTTCTTCCCTTTCATTGCATGCACTGTCCAACAAAGAGTGCAATAAAACACAATCGTAGGGTTCGGTCGTACACAGTCATCAAGATCATTTTATAAAAACCATCTGTATATATGTATTTGTTGAGGAGAAAAATTTTTTCAGGATATAGCATCCAGGTGTGTAGCTCAGGGTCCCGAAATGTGGACACTTGGATTAGGCATGACACCCCAAACACCCCCTCCTCCCATCCCCACTGGTCCATGAATGAAGGACATGGAAGCTTATTTTATAATGAGCGTTTACAGTAAATGTAACATGAAGTTAATTCTTATAAGTGTTTGCATACTCTTGTTTGGATTTTAAAATTTTATGCATTCTCTCTCTCTCTCTCAAAATATCTTGACCTTCCGGTGTGCACACAGAAGTATAATTGTACAGAAGTATAATTATGTATGTTAACTACTCCACTGACATTTTTCTTGTTTTTTAAAAGAAAACAAGTGATATTTACATGTACATCTTTTGTGTCAAAAAAAGCAACTCCTCCCCCCCCCCCCACTCACACGTGTGTGTTAATCCCATATCCACCCCTTTGATACGGAACATGTGCAGTGGCACCAGGAAATGAAACATTAATCTTGCATAAAAAGTATTTTGGGAGTTATATGCATTTTGTAAAAAAAAAAAAAAAAACATTTGAGAACATAATAGCTAGAAAAAAAAAATCAAATTTCGAAAATGTTGACATTTAAAAACAAAATTAACCGTCTTTATATGCACATAATGGTTCTTTAATCCAAGAACTACACAACAAAATATGCACAATTTACCTGTTCACAAACCATTTCACTAAAAATTAAATGTCAAAGTTCGCAAAAATATTTCTTTAATTAGTTATTTTGATACTTTCTTTGAGAAACACCAAGCTCCGTCTTTTCACATGACCTTGTGATAAGAAGTAATTCTTTGCTTTCATGTTTGTTGTCCGTTTTCAGATTTTTATTTTTTTTGGGGGGGGGGGGGTCTAGTATGTCACTAAATGTAGCGATAATTTGAGTCTTAATGATAAACACCTGTAAGCTTTCAAGCAAACTTTTTTAAATACTATGGTTTGATCCAGGTATTGTACTTTTTACCCTCAATCCGGTTTTGTAATTTCCTGACGGTTTGTATGTCTTCAGTGAAATTTAATATGATTTTTACTTTCTTTCTATTTAAGATAATGAAAGTCCGTCAAGATGCCTTCTTGATTTTTTTTTTTAAATTTTGTATTATTTTGGAATTTTTCCTTCTGTCCTTTAATAATTGATATCTTTAATGCAAATTTTGTATATGACACAATTGTAATAAACAAAATTTGCACAAAAATATCAATTGTTTTGTTTAAGACAAAGAGAAAAAAACAGTACTGTTCAACGTTTTCGCCTTTTCAACATTCCCCATTTCAGTAACTCATGTATATAAAAAAACATATAGAAATAACCTTCACATATACGAACCTGCTTAGACTTATTGAACAGCTGGTAATACACATATTGTTATGAAAGTAATATGGGATGAACCATAAGATTTATGTGTATTGATCTACGTTCGGCCGGATGTTGAAAGCAGGGACACCTCTGTGCAACAAACACCAATGAAAAAGATTAAAAAAAAAAAATCAACGTCGCCTGCTGAACCTTTTACACCTAGAGTGTTAGGGGGCGTATTATGTTATGTTTAATTATAACAATTATCATAAAAAAAATTAATTTCCTCCAAATAAGTAATTACAACAAGACTGCATAATTATTTTTATAAACAATTTATTTTGCGATCTCGAGGTTATTATCTGTTTTATTCAAATACAATTGAAATATATAGTGAGGGGACTTTTGAAGCTATGTAAACTGTTATTGAATTCATTCCGTTGCCAACCACCATGCAATATAGCAATGTACGAGTGTACATGTAAATACAAGAGCGCCCCAAATATACGAGGGGTGATCAAAAAGTTCGCGAACTATCTCTATATTTACAAAAGCACAATTCAGATCAGAATGAAATTTGGCAAACATACATAGTCACACGAATGTTCTATAAATAGCGTATCATATGTAATTACGTTGAGACTTTTTCGAAAAACTTAATTCCCTGTCTATTCAAAAGATCTTAGAATTAATTTGGTTTGCTTTGGGTTTGAGTTTTTCTTTCAGATTTAGTTTTGACGATGTGTCCCTTAATGCATTGCTAATTTGAGTCTAAATAATAACATTTCAGACCGGGGAAATGGTAGTGTGTAATGGTTATGCATTGTAATCATTACATTTTTTCAATGTAATGGGATGTAATGTGCAATGGATCTATCTTTCAATTACAAGTTATTGTAATGTAATGCATTACTTTAAAAATGTAAGTAATGACCATTACTTTTCAGTTACATTTTGTATTTCAATCTCTTTTAATTATTGAATCTGAAACAAATTAAGGTCACTGAGAGGTTCTACTTTTTTATGCCCCCGTAATCGAAGATTCGGGGGCATATAGTTTTTGTTCTGTCCGTCCGTCTGTCTGTCTTTCTGTCTGTCTGTCTGTTTGTCCGCAGAAACTTTAACCTTGCCCATAACTTCTGATTGGTTGGAGCTATGGCTTTCATATTTCATATGTATATTTCTTGTGACAAGACCTTTCTTTGGGTACATCACATTTGATCTTTTGACCTTGACCTTGGAGTTTGACCCACTTTTGCAAAATTTTTTGAGACTTCAACCTTGGCCATAACTTTTAAACCTTGGGCTTTCAAACTTCACAAGTGTATTTCTTGTGAGAAAGCCTATCTTTGGATACCAACATCTTTGACCCTTTGACCTTGAACTTGGAGTTTGGCCTACTGTTGAAAAAACTTTAACTTTGGTCATAACTTTTGAACAATTTAAGCTAGGTCTTTCATACTTTGCATGTGTACTCCTTGTGATAAGACGTTTCTTTGCGTACCAACAACTTTGACCTTGACCTTGGAGTTTGACCTACTTCAAATTTGAAAAATCTTAACCTTGGCCATAACTTTTGAACAGTTAGTGATACGGTTTTTATACTTTACATATGCATTTCTTGTGACAGGACTTTCCTTTAGATACCAACAACTTTGACCGTTTGACCTTGACCTGGGAGTTTGATCCATTTTTGAAAAACTTTAACATTGGCCATAACTTTTGAACAGTTGGTGTTAGGGATTTCATACTTCACACATGCATTCCATGTGACAAGACCTTCCTTTAGATACCAACAACTCTGACCCTTTGACCTTGACCTTGAAGTTTCATCTACTTTTGAAAAACTTTAACCTTGGCCACAGTTTTTGAACAGTTGGTGTTAGGGCCTTCATTTGTACTTCACATGTATATTACTTGTGACAAGGTCTTCCTTTGGATACCAACAATTTTGGCATTGACCTTGACCTTAGAAATTGACTTTCTTTTTAAAAAAATTAACATTGGCCCTAACATTTGAATGTTTGGTTCTAGGGCTTTCAGATTTCACAATCATGTGTATCACTAGTGACAAGAACTTCCCTTAGGCACCATTTGACCTTGACCTAGCCGTTTTACTTACTTTGAAAAAAAACTTTAACCTTCACCATAAGTTTTCAACAGTTTGTACTAGGGCTTCCATATTTCATAGGTATATTCCATGAGACAAGACCTTTCTTTGGGTACCAACATTTTTGATTTCTTGACCTGGAGTTTGACTTGCATTTAAGAAACTCTAACCTTCGCCATAAGCTGCCATACGGGGGCATCAGTGTTTCACAAACCCAGTCATTCTACAAAAACATGACCAATTAAGAATTTTTTATGTCGCTTGCAAATTTACCGTTGTAATTTCTTAATTATAAATTTAAAGGTCGATTTCAACACTAAGACTTAAAATACACACATGGTTTTGTAAATATTCACCGATATATATGCAGTTAAAGTTTTGATATGAACATAATGTAATGTTGAAAAACGTATTCCACTTCAAATCTTAATATCGCTTCATTTATATACAAATTTCAAGATGAAATTTTCAGCCGTAAAATCGTTCCGAATAGAGTGCAATGAAT